AGGGCCCCCCGGCCTCCCGGCTGGCCTTCTCGCCCAGTACCTCGGTTCCCTCTGCACCACAGGTCCCCCCACTGAGGGAGACTGTCCCCCCTGCCCTAGAAATCCCTTTCTCTGTCACGTCTGGTAGAGCATCCTGATGGACATCTGGAACCCCCTGGAGGCCACTGGAGGCCAGGCCACCCAAGTGTCAGGGACAGGGTGGGGGTTAGGGGCTGGGTGGGAGTTCTCGGTTTGTTAGGGCCCCTAGGGAAGGCAAGGCCCCCCACGGGCGGGGTGTCACAGGGCCCACCCGAGACTCCCACAGTGCCAGACCTGTGCTGAGCCTCCTCACGTAGGAGCACCTGGGGGAAGGAAGCGCTGCTGGGGGCAGGCCTTGGAGGGCCTTTGTCTGCCGGCCCTCCCCCTCCCGTCCATTCCCATTGTTCCCCTTGTGCGGTGGCTCGGAGGCAGAGGGCTTCCCAGGCTCTGGAGTGGGTGATGGGGGAGGGCCCAGGCCCCTCCCCCAGAGGCCCCTCGCTGAGGCTGCTTTTCAGAAACAGATGCTCCCAGCGCTGCCCAGCCCCCACCGCCTCCACTGGGTCTCTGGCTGCCAGGCTCCCCCTGGTGGTGGCAGGTCCACATCTCTGAGGCTGCGGGGAGGGGCAGGATCTCTAGGGGCCGAACCTCAGACGGGGCTGGAGACGTGGCTGGAGACGTGGCACCTTCCTGGGATGGGAGTGGGAGGTGGTGCCAGGGTGCCTTTGGGTGGGCTTGTCAGGATCACCCCCACCTTCCCCCGTGCCCCACTGGGGTACGCTGAGGCATTGTGGCAGTGGGGGGGGGGCAGGCCTGGCGCTGTGGGTTTGAGCTGGGCCACTGCCCGAGTCTACCCTGTGGTCACAGCCACTGCTGCTTCTGAGAGCCTCTAACCTGGGCCTGCCACGTCAGCTGGCGGGGCTCCCTGTCCCCCCGCGTTCCAGGGGAGCCCACCGGCACCCAGGCCTCTGCAGAGAGCCTTGCCCCAGCCTGCACAGCCTCCTGAGTGCAGGGAGTTGGTGAACAGTGCTCACTGTGAGCCTTCTGGGCATGAAGGAGGCTGGTCGTGTGGAAGGGAAGTGGGGAACCCAGAGCAAAAAGCCAGCAGAGTAGTGCGTGGTTCTCACTCCCTCCCGTCCCAGGTTACACAAGTCCGGGCAGGGAACCACCGCTGCTGAGTCAGCCCCTTAGCAGCTGGTCATTGCCCTCCCTGTGCTTTGTCTGAAGGCCTGAGACACTCCTCCAAACACGACGCCCCAGCAGGCCACTCTGCAGGTTGTGGCTGTAGTGACCTGTATGGTTGGACAGCCTTGGGCTGCAGCATTCATTTCAAGCGCTTTAGAGAAATCTGCATCTTCCTGAGGGTAGAGAGTCACACTAATAACTTTTATCTGACCGCTCCCCGTGCGCCACGCTCTGTGAGAACAGCCTCCTCTTTCATCCTCGCCCCTCTCCTAGGAGGAGGTAATGGTGGTGTCCTATTTCACAGACGAGGTGCCAGGACCGATAGGAAGGGGCTGGGTGCAGGGGAGTCAGCCTGGGTGCCAGGGCTGTGGCAGGCTTGGACCTCCCTCTGGGAGAAGATCTGAAAGCCAGAGGTGGGCTGGCTGGCCCTTCTAGGCTTGGCAGTCTCTGCAGAGGGGACAGTGGCATGTCACAGCTTCCCAGCAGGGCAACGCCTTGTCTGAGTGGGAGGTAAAGGGCCCAGGATGGACAGGTAGCAGTGACCTGAATGCTGGATCACGCAGCTGGATCGGTGGCCATGTTGCAGCCGGCCCCACAGGCCTTGTTCAGACAGGTGGCCGGGTACTGTCCCCCTTCCCCCATCTGTTCCCTCCTCCGCTGGGGCTCAGCACTCCCAGAGTGGAAACAGATGTTCTAGCACAGCCGCTGCCACCCAACACATCAGGGCAATTACTGCCCCCCTGCTGGGGGCCCAGCAGCTGCGCCCTGGGGTAGGGGCTGCAGAGCTTTCTCCCTTGGTGAGAAGAGGTGCGGCCCAGTGGGAACGCTGCCGGCCACCCCGGAGTCTCTGTGGCTCCTCTGGTCTCACGCAGCTGGACATGGAGTGCCTGGCGGGGCCCTGCACCTTCGTGGCAATATGGAGCCAGCGAGTAAAGCCCCCTCCTCCCGGCGGGGAAGGTACAGACTGCAGGGGGCACTGAGTGCCCAGGATCAGCAAGGTGCAAACAACCTTCGAGCCAAATTCCAGCTTGTATGATGGGGAGCCCCGCAGGCCACGATGGAAAGGGGGGCCTGCTGGAGGAGTGACCTGTGAGACCGGTGGGCTGCCCAAGAACCAGGGTCCTGTCCAACCCATTCAACCGGGGGTCAGACCGTGGTCCCACCCACCTCGGCCTCTGGCCCCCCTCCACACCCCAGCTGCTCCTGGGCCGTGCTCCAGATTCTGAGATGGTGCTCCGCACCCCCTGCCCCCGCTCTGCCTGGCCACCAGCACCATGCCCTTGTCCTACCATTTTGTCCCGCCTGAGTCCAGGCTTAGGCTCTGTGACCTTGGTTTGTCCACCTGTCAAATGGGGGTCTTTTGCAGTGACCCCTGTTGGGGGGGGGGGGAGAATGGCCTCCTAATTTTTAAGAGTCTGAGGAGACCAAGGGAGACTGAGGCTCACAGGGAAAGCTGGTGGTCAGAGGGCTGGGGCAGGGAGTAGGCACCCTGGCCCCAGCCCACCTGCCCAGGTGCTGCCCACCTCAGTGTGGAAAATCAAAGAGATGCAAAGTGAGTTTGTGCTGTGTTCCCTGTCGCTGGGCAGGGCCAGGCAGGGAAGCTGGTGCCTCCAGGGGACAAGGGTCCCAAAGTTACACAAGGACAACCCTCACCTGGACTCTGGTCCCCGGTGCCCTGGAGAGCTGTTACTCTGAGTGTAGGTTCCCCCGTGGGGTTGGCAGGATTGGTCTGGCCCATTCCTGCACACCCTTGGCCTCCGCTGCCCCACGAGGCCCTCTCCCCACATCCCTGCTCAGCAGGTGGGGTGCGAGTGTGCCAGGTCCTGGCTGCTCCTGGGCTGGGCGCTGTGGGGGTGGGGGACTGCCACCTGAGCCCTGCTCATGCCCAGCGGCGGACCCCCAGTGCCCAGGCTGGACCAATAGAGGGGCTTGCTGCGTCCCTGCACATCTGCCGCTCCCGGTGCTCCCGGTGCTCCCGGTGCTCGTGGCTCCTGGGAAGCAGGCCTGGGACAGTCAGAAGCCCATGGTTCCAGGCAGCTGGTGGTGACTGTGAGGAGAGCCCAGACCCTCCTCCAGGAGACCACTGGCTGTGAATATACCCAGGGCCACCCCTGTGAGGGCACAGCTGCACCTCAGCCTTTCCCGGTAACATGCAGATCTGGGGCGCAAGGTAGAGCAGGTGCAGGTGGGCCGGGGTCTAGGTGGGGTTTGCTGCTGCGTGGAGGGGTGGAGGGCGCTGCAGACCCAGTGGCACGGAGCAAGCCCAGGGTCTGGCTGCAGCCCAGGGCTCTTGGGGCGGCTTAGAGGCACTGCCCGGCAGGCGAGGTGGGCCACACAGGGGACTGCAACCTGTGACCTCAGCCTCTCAGTTCCCTCCCTTGTTGGGGGGAGAACCGAACTGCTCCGCAGGGTGGCCGTGGGATTCAGCTACTAGCGGGCGCCACTCTGGCTTTTGCCGTTGTCCTTGTTGTGCCATTTGTGCTCTCGGGTTAGTTCATGTGTTGGCCACTTCATCCTCCGAGGCCTCTTGACCCCGAGGGACTCAGTCCCCGAGTTCGGCCCGCCCGCCAATCCTGCTAAGCTGAGCAGAATGGCCCACCTGCCACAGTGATGGGGGGTTGGGACACACTGGATCAGGTGTGCCCGGCAACACGGGCAGAAAGGCCTGCAGGTGGCCAGAGGCAGGCCTGGCACGTGCAGCCGTGACTGGTGGTGATGGGGTTGGCGCAGTGGGAGCGGTAGGCAAAGGCTCAGGGCAAGAGGGGCCTTGTCGAGGTGCCTTCCACCTGGAGCTCAGGAGTAGTGGCCAGAGAGGCGGGTCCTGCCCCCGCTCTTCTGTCCCCTGGTCCTCAGGCTTCCCTGCACAGTCCCCCTGGCAAATGCAGCTTCCCTGAGTGGCTCCCTCCAGTCTGGCTCTGTGTGCAGGAGCGGAGCTGGGAATTGGCTGTTTTTTCACAGCCTCCCACAGGGGCTGAGCCATAATTTGAGAAGGGCTGGGAAGGCCCGGCGTCCTGGCCCTACACGCTCCCCTGCCCTTCTGAATCCCGGCTGCATGGTCTGGGGCCCGACTTGACTTCTCTGAGCCACCCTGTCCTCCTCTGTAAAACGGGACAGGAGTAGTGTCTCATGTCTGTGAGTCTGCTATGGTCCTCACAAGAGACTCTGGCCAAGGGGAAGTACAGGGTGGCTCTGCTAGGCCAGTGAAGCCCCTTGTCAGTGCAGTGTGTGTGTGAGTGTACATGTGTGTGTCACACTGCCTATCTCCCAGGGCCTGGTCCCCCTCTGCTCAGGGCAGACCTGAGCCCAGCAGACCAAGGCCTTGGCCTTGGGCCATGTCTGGGAGATGAGAGTATGATGCCGTGCTCACCCCAGGGCCCTCGGCAGCTCTGGCTGAGTGGGGGGAGGGCCACTGCCCCACTGGTGAGTGCAGGGCGCCTTCGCGCCAGCTCTGCCTGGGCTCCGTGTTGATGAGCACCGGCCACAGAGCCTGCGTGTGTGAGTATGGGGTGAATTCTGCAGGGCTGGCCCCCGACTCCATCCAGAGCCCCTAGACTCAAGCAGGTGGTGGGGGCCACAGTAGGCTGTGGAACTTGAAGAGGCAAAGGTCTGGGGAGAGTCAGGGTTTTAAGTTGCCTTGACCACGGTGGCCCTGCCAGGCCTGACTGCACGCACCATCTAGAGATGCACTGGGTCGGAGGGGGGGGGTTCTGCCTCCAGGAGTGTGGGGCAGCTGGGCTGCTCGTGGCCTCCCCTGGCAGCCTCCCGGCCGGCTCCCTGACCACCTGTGCCCTTCGTTCCAGGTGCTGGTGAGTCGGGAAAGAGCACCATTGTCAAGCAGATGAAGTAAGTGCTGGGTGCAGAGGCAGCCGCCACACTCACCTTTCCCCTCTTCCTCGCAGCCAGGCTGGGACCTTCCCAGGCACAGCCGGCCATCCTTAGGTCCCAGTGGGTTGGGGGCGGTTCTGTCCTCTCTGAAGTAGGTCCCTGCAGGGTCCAAGAGCCCCAGGTGGCCACGCGTGGCCCCTGTGGCCTGTGCACCCTGACCCCTGACCCCCGGCCGCCAGGATCATCCACGAGGACGGCTACTCCGAGGAGGAATGCCGGCAGTACCGAGCAGTCGTCTACAGCAACACCATCCAGTCCATCATGGCCATTGTCAAAGCCATGAGCAATCTGCAGATTGACTTTGCCGATCAGTCCCGCCAGGTATGTGGACTCCCCTGTACGGCTGCCTACCCCCTAAAAGGCCTCAGGGCAAGCCCTGTCCTGGGAAACCTGAGAATTCCCCAGCCTAGGGCCCATTCTGGAGGCCTCCCTGCCCTGGACGGGCGGGGCGGGGATGTGCCCCTGCAACGGGCTGATCACCCACTGCTGTGCCCAGGACGACGCCAAGCAGCTGTTCGCACTGGCCAGCGCGGCCGAGGAGCAGGGCGTGCTCCCCGAGGACCTGTCCAGCATCATCCGGAGGCTCTGGGCTGACCACGGTGTGCAGGCCTGCTTCAGCCGCTCTCGGGAGTACCAGCTCAACGACTCTGCTGCCTAGTGAGCGCCCGGGGCTGGGTGGGGTGGTCGTGGTCGGGACTGAGGGCCGGCAGCACCCTCGGAAGCGCACCACTAGTCTCTGAAGCTGGTGACTGTCAGCCGAGGCCCTGGCGGCTCAGGGTTTGGGTGGAAGGCACGGCCCCTAAAGGCCAGGTGCTCAGGTGGCTGGAGCGTCGTCCCAATGTGCCCAGGAGGAGGCTTCGACTCCTGGTCAGGGCCCATGTAAGAACTAACCAATGAATGCCTCAGTAAGTGGAGCAGCAAATTCATGTTTCTTTCTTCTCTCTCTCTCTAAAAAATCAGTTAAACCCTGCCTGGTGTGGCTCAGTGGATTGAGCCCCGGCCTGTGAACCAAAGGGTCACTGGATTGATTCCCAGTCAGGGCACATGCCTGGCTTGCGGGCCAGGTCCCCAGTGGGGGGCACACAAGAGGCAACCACATATTGATGTTCCTCTTTCTCTCTTTCTCCTTCCCTTCCCCTCTCTCTGAAATCTTTTTAAATGAAATCTTTTTAAAAAGTCAGTTAAAAAACAAAAAAAGGCTAGGAGGAAGGCCGGGCAGGGTGGCTCCCAGAGTCCATCCCCTCCTGGCCAGTCATGTCTAATGTGTCCTCACACACGACTGTTTGAAGAAACATTGGCTGCCACCTGCTCTGTGGCAGTCCCTGTGCGAGGCTTCAGGGACACGGGTGAGTGGAGCAGACAGGTCCCCACGCAGTGACAACGTACGTGTCCGTGTTCTGCTGGGTGTTGGGGTGGGTCCAGCGAGGAGGCGCTGTCGCAGTGGAGCTCTGAACTTGGCTGGCTTAGTGGGGAGGGATGGGAAGGGCCTTCGGGCAGGGGCACAGCCTGGGCCAGCGCCTGAGGTCACAGAGGGAGTTCACCCTGTCTAGGGAGGGAGACACGAGGCGGGGGATGGCCTGGGAGGGGACAGATGTGTGTGGGTTGCAGCCCAGGACTTCAACTCTGACTCCTGCTGGCTCCTAGCTGAGCCTAGGACTCAGGTGGGGAATCATAGGGGTCCCGGGAGTCCCAGAGGCCCAGCCCACAGGGTGATGCCGTGACCTCCTTCCCTGAGGTACCCTCCTTACGTTAAGCCTGGTGCAGGGTGCTGAGTCCCCCACGGGAATAGGACAGGCTGGTGACCAGCACTGATGGCTACAGGGCTTTGGGGAACAGCCACAGGTTCTGGATGGTGCCACCCAGATAGGCCGCCGACCCTGTACTCCCACCTCCCCTCTCCTGCCCCTGCCCAAGCCAGTCCCTTTGTCTGCCCACTGAACCCTGAGCCCATCCAGCGAGGGGCAGGACCTCAGGACTGAAGGAGGATGAGGACAGGATGGGGTCTGAACCCCCTTGTGAGCGCACTCCCCCCTCGGGACCTGCGCAGTCAGTCAAGCTCAGGCCTCGGCGCTGCCCCTCGCAGAGGCCCAGCACCAGCAGAGCTTGTGGGTCCGAGAGGCAGGGAGGTGAGCCCTGTCCACCACGGCCACCTCAGGGCCAAGGCTACTCAGCGAGGGTGGGCACAGAGCCACCTTCCAGACCACACGCCGCTCCCCCCTTGTTCCGCTCCTCACTCCCGGTCAGGCACCTACTGTGTGCCCAGCACCCTTCCAGTGGGGGTTCAGCAGGGACCTTGGGCCCTGCTCTCCGTGGCAGGTTTCTGCCTTGACAGGATCACCCAGGGTGGGAGTGGATTGGGACACCACAGGGCACAGGGGTGTACTCCACCCCCCGTCACAGCCATCCTGCAAGGCTGCCACGGGGCGGCAAGCTCCTGCCATAAGCCGCCATAAGCCTCCGTGCTGCGGAGGGAGAGGCTGGCGTGGACCCACCGCGGGGCCTCCAGGCCGGAGGCTCTCGGTAGGGGGTGGGGCTTGGTATGGAGGTCACAGCACATGCGTCACGGTCCCCCATGGCCCTTCCTGTTTTTCTGTTCTGTCTCTGTGTTGTGTCTCTGAGGTCATTTCCCTCTGGCCAAGCTGCTGGTGGCAGCCAAGGGCTGGCCCCAGCTGCCGTGCCCCCAGAGTGAGATGTCGGCACAGCAGGCGTTGGGCAGCCTCTGGGAGGCCCAGGCCCGGCCCCCAGAGCACACCGGGGGTACTGAGGCAGGCTGCAGCACTGGCCCCGGGGCCCAGCCGGGGAGGGTCGGTATTAATTAAGGGAGCTGGTAATGTGGAGCCCCTGGGACCTCTGCCAAGCAGGCGTCCTCCCCTGAGGAGCCCACATTTTATTGGATGCTGGGCAAAGAGCCCACTGGGCCTGGCAGGCCCCAACCTGCCCAGCCCTGCATCAAGGGACACGCCAGGCTGCCCTGTGGCTGATGCCATAGTTGCGCCGATTAGCATCCCAGATTTCTCACTGAACTCATCTGCCCCCTCCCACCTCCTCACCTGCACCTCCACTATGCTGGATCCTGTCCCAGGCGGACCTGACTCAGGCCAGACTGGGGCTGGGCTGGCTGGCCGGCCCCCAAATTTCACTGTCCCCCAGGCCTGAGCCACAGGTGACAGGTGTTCTCATCCGAGCAGTGAACATAATGCAGGGGGCCATGGGAGAAGGCCCCATGCTCGCCTCTGTTGACCCCCACCCCCCCCACCCCCCGCAGCTACCTGAATGACCTAGAGCGCATTGCGCAGAGCGACTACGTCCCCACACAGCAGGACGTGCTGCGGACCCGCGTGAAGACCACGGGCATCGTGGAGACGCACTTCACCTTCAAGGACTTGCACTTCAAGTGAGTGGCAGGGTGCAGAGGCAGGGCCTGCCAGACTTTGAGGTGACAGAGGGGGGAGCCTCCCTCCTGGGCCTGCTCGTGGCTGTGTTGGGAGCGAGGGGCTAGTCCAGGACCCCCTGCCCCACTCAGACTTCTGAGGCCGTGCACTCACCTGCGGCTCACATCCTCTGCTGTGCCTGCCCGCGTGGTCAGGGCCAGCCCCGCTGACCAGCCCCGATCCTAGCTCAGCGCCAGGGGGATGGGGGACAAGTGTGGAGGGTTCCGTGAAGGCTGTCCCACTCTGAGCAGGCCTCTGTCCTCAGGTTCTGGGGACCCGCTCCCAGAACCCCGTTCTCTGGAGTAAGGCAACCTTGTGTCCACAGGATGTTCGATGTGGGCGGACAGCGGTCTGAGCGGAAGAAGTGGATCCACTGCTTCGAGGGCGTCACAGCCATCATCTTCTGTGTGGCCTTGAGCGCCTATGACCTGGTGCTGGCCGAGGACGAGGAGATGGTGAGGGGCTAGGAGGCCACGCGCGGGGTGGGGCGTGCTGGGCCGCGCTGGTGCTGACCGACCACTCCGTCCCACCCTCAGAACCGCATGCACGAGAGCATGAAGCTGTTTGACAGTATCTGCAACAACAAGTGGTTCACGGACACATCCATCATCCTCTTCCTCAACAAGAAGGACCTGTTTGAGGAGAAGATCACACACAGTCCCCTGACCATCTGCTTCCCAGAGTACACAGGTGCCGCGGCTGGGCCTTTGGGGGGGGTTGGCGGTGACCAGGCGGCCTGCGAGCGCCTCCTGCTGGACAGAAGCGGGCCCTTGGTCCCACTGGTGCTTCTTGGGCACGTGTAGGCCCTTCTTCCCACCCTGGGCTGTGGACCCCATGTATGTGCACATGGGCATCACCCTTCAAACGCTCGGATGTGTGTGTGCACTCACAATACAGTCATCCTACTCTGGCTGGTGTGGCTCGATGGATTGAGTGCCAGCCTGAGAACCAAAAGGTCACCAGTTCGATTCCAGGTCAGGGCACCTCCCAGGGTTTCAGGCCAGGTCCCCAGTTGGGGGCACCTGAGAGGCAACTGATCGATGTCTCTCACATCGATGTTTCTCTCCCTCTCTCCCTCCCTTCCCTTCTCTCTAAAAATAAGTAAGTAAAGTCTTAAACAACAACACAGCCATCCTGTGTACCCGGCACACACACCACACACTCTTCAGTGCCCGTGGAGCCGGCCTGCCTTCCGCCCACGCAGCACTGTTCCCCATGCTCTGTCCCCCACAGGCGCCAACAAGTACGACGAGGCGTCCAGCTACATCCAGAGCAAGTTCGAGGACCTCAACAAGCGCAAGGACACCAAGGAGATCTACACGCACTTCACATGCGCCACCGACACCAAGAACGTGCAGTTTGTGTTCGACGCCGTCACCGACGTCATCATCAAGAACAACCTGAAGGACTGCGGCCTCTTCTGAGGGGCTGCCGACCTGGCAGGATGGTGAGCCAGAAGGGGGCCAGGCAGGGAGCTGGGGGGGGACACAGTGGGACCACTGAGTCCAGAAAAGGGACGGAGAGGGTGGGGACCCCGAGTACTCGTAGGAGAGCAGAGGACAAAGTTCACATGGGCTGGTGAGTCAGGAGGGCCACTGAGTGGAGGGCCCTGAGGAGCAGGCACAGGCAGGGCTGGGCTCTGTTCTGCCCGGTCCCAATGGCAGAAGCGCCTGGCCAAGCACCGGAACAGAACTAAAAGGCTGTCTGACCTTCCTTGGAAAAAACTCACCTCCTCACCCCCAGCCCGTTGGCCTAGCCTGAAGGAGGCTGGTTGATGGCCTCACCACCTGCCACTCAGTGTGACTGGCTCTGTGCTCCTCCCTGCTGAGGGTCCTGGGGAAGGGAGAGGGCTGTGCCACTCACTACTCAGGCCCCCACTGCCACACAACCCAGCAACTGACTGGCTCCTGGGTGGCCACTGTGTCCCTGGTAACGGTAACAAGACGGGAGCAGAAAAGGACAGGGTCATCATAGTCTAGGGAGGCGGGAGGAGAGTCACACAATGGCTGCCCCCCGACCCACGACTATCCCCCACCTCCAGGGCCACCGCCAACTCTGCTCCCCCCCAGCCCCTGAGGAAGATGGGGACAAGAGGACCACGCTCTCCACCTGTCCCTCCCCAGCCGCTTTTCTCCTCTTTTCTCCGTTCTTGGCTGCCCCCTTCCCCTCCCTCAGTTCCAGAGACTTGGGGGAGGGGTTGCCACAGGCCTCCCTATTCAAAGCCCACTCTTGTCCCAGGTGCTGGGAGTGGCCTCGGTACCCCCTTCTTGGGCGTCTGTTCTGGTTTTAACCCTTGTCTTATTCTGGGACAGGGGAGCGGAGCACATGCTGAGTCTCCTAAGACCTGTGTCTGGAGGGGCACCCACTTCTCCAGCCTGGGACCCCTGGCTTCGCCCAACACCAGCCCCTGACCCAGCCTGAGTCCAAAATGTTTACAGGGAGCCTCCTGTCCCCCCCCCCCCCCGCAGCCGCTCGGAGGCCCCAAAGGAAAAGCACAAGAAGCGGGTGACGCCACCGCTCCTGGAGACCACAGTTTGCCTGCTCGTTCTCGTAGCTTTTTAAAAAAAAAAAGTAAAGGAAAAAACCTGCAAACCTAGAACACTTTTTAGAGAAAAACTATTTAAAACTGTCCGACCCTGACCAGCTCCCACCCAGCCCCCATTCCAGCAATTCCGTGCCTTGAGTGTGTCCGCGTGTTTACACCTGCCCACTCCTGCTGGCGCCCCGCGCGGGCCACACCCCCACCTTGCCCTCCACTCCGCGCGGCCAGTGGGGCTGTTCCGGACAACTGCCAGCGTCTCGGAAGGCTGCCCCAGCAGCCCTGGGCCCCGGCTCCATTAACCTCCACGTAGCTCCTTAGCGCTAACCTAGGAACCACCGCTGCCTGCTGAGGGGCCATGTCCCTCATGCCCTCCCCCCAGGTCGGGCGTTGAACACTTCCTTGCTTTTTTCACGTTTTATGGAATTGTTCACCTGGTTTGAAATAATAAAATGTAGAAAGAAAAATACCAAGAATTGCTTGGCTTTCTCTGGGGAAAGGGGGGCAGAGACCCCCACAGATGTGTCCTGGGGATGCGTGTGTGGTGCTGAGCCCTCACTGCAACGGTACCCCCCGGGGCTTGGCTCTCCGTCCTGCTCAGGCCTATTCTTCCAGCTTCAGGTTTCCGACAGGGGCCTGAAGGTCTTTCCTGCTTGGGCCTGTAAGTCTGCCCTCCCCTCCCAGCACCTCTGCCTGCATTGCTGATTTGGGGCTGCCTTCAGGCCTTGCTGGATGGAGCAGCAGGGGGCAGATGTCGTAAGGAGCTGTTCTAAGGAGCCACACTGGGAGCAAGAGGTGTGCCCGGAGAGTCCTGTGGGGAAGGCAGTGCTCCGAGCTCCCAGGCCCACAGACAGCATTGCTGTGCTCACACGGCCAGGGGCTGCAGCCCCCTGCAGCCCTCCTATCTCCCGGTCTAACGTGTTGCCCAAGGCCCTTGGTGCCTTGGTCCTTTGGTCCCGTGTTCCTGCACTAAACAAAGTTGGGGATAGTAGGGGCCTTTGCCCCAGAGGTCCCCCTCCGAACCTGATGTAAGGGAAAGACAGGGAGCTTGGCGCCACTGAGGCTGCTTGGGCGGCTGCAGGGCTCCAGCTACACTCAGACCAGGGCTCGAAGAATTCGGACTCTTCCGGAAGGCTGTGGCAAGTGCACGCGCGTTATTGCAGAAGGAACCAGTCGCTGACATGGCCGGGGGCCTGTGGGATGGGCCAAACTACCGACTTTCTCCCACGGATCCGGACTGCGGGGCGGACAGCAGAGCTCCGCGAAGGCCGCCCCGAGTGGGCGGGGTCGGAGGCGCACGCCTCCACCTTCGGCCACCAGAGGGCGTCGCAGCCCATGCTCGCCGCGCCGGGCTGGGCACGAAGGCTGACGTCATTGGGTCCTGCGCGGGCCGCAGGGCACAAAGGGAGCTTTGTAGGGCCGCGGGGGCTCAGTGCCCGCCGAGTGACAAAGAGGCCGGGGTCGGCGCCGCGGAGGCGGGGAGGGCAAGGCGGGGAAGAGAGGGTGGGGCTGGGGACCCGGGACCCCGCCTCCCCACACCTGCCAGTCCCCCAAAAGCCCGGCTCCCCCTCGCGCCGCCCCCCCCCCGCCCCCCAGCGCTGGCAGGAGATGAGAGGCTGCAACTGCCCCATCGGAAAGAGATCCACGCTCCCCAGGCCCTGTCCCCGCCCCAGTTCCCCGGGGCCTTTCCTGCTACCCCTGCCTCGGGAGCTGAGGGCCCACAGTCAAGGAGAACAGGATCCCATCCCTGCCTTTCTTCAGCGGTCAGGCCTGGACCTCCCCGAACCCTGTACGTGAGGGCTGGACGCCGGTGCCGGCCCCCACTCCCCAGCAGTGATGCCTGCCCAGCAGGAAGCGGGCACCGGAGATGGTTTCTTCCTTCCCTCCTGAGGGGGAGCATTACACAGAGGGACCATTGAGGGGCTGGTATTGTCCTCCTGATGCACCCAGCACCTCCCTCTTTGGGTGGGCCATGCAGGATTCTGGCCAGGATCCCCTTGTCCCTGGCTTGGCAGTGGCTCCGGGTGGGGTCCTGGCAAGCAGGACTTCCCTGGGTGCAGACAACTAAGCCCCCACCTGCCCTTGGCCTTCCTATTCTTGTTCTGAATCGTAGGGCATAAGGCTCCATTGTCCCAGTACCGGCGGGGGTGGCCTCTCAATTCCTCCTCGTCTTTGGCAGTTGGGAAATTCCCAGCCATGGAGGGTGGCAGGCTCGGGGGCAGCCCAGGTGTCCTGCACCCCAACGGGAGGGATTCCATGAGGTTGACTCCTGGGGATCCCCACTAACTGTTGTTGTCCAAGGCTGGACCTCGGCCATACCTTGTCCCTCTGAGCAGCTGCACGAGGGGAGGCAGAGACTCAGTGCTCCCTGACCATGTGTCCCCCCAGGGCTCTACCAGCCAGAAAAGGCCCATTTCCTGGCCCCAAGCCATGGGCAGCTGCAGCCGCGATGCCCAGGACCCTAGCAAGACAGGCAGGGCCAGGCAAGGGACCCAGGCCCTGGCTCCCAGGCTAAGCGTGCAGGTCCCAGTATGAGGTGGGCTCTCTGCAGCCAGTTGAGACCACTCTAAGGCTGACCCGCCTCCCAGAGAGCCTCCCTATACCACATAGTTGCTCAGACTATTGATGGGGTGGCAGCCTTGGTATTTTTAACCCACGTGGGAGGCGGTGAAATGACTGGAATGGAAGAGAGACCAGCTCGAGGTCAGAGAGGGCAATCATTCCCCAGCTCCCCTGGCCCGACCCCCACCCCCAGCAGGTGGGTAGAGGCCCAGATACCAGCTGCAGAAGGGGAAGGGGGCCTCATTAGCCATGGGGCCTCTGAAGCTGCAGGGGGTGCCAAGGTCTGAAGGAAGCCCTTCCCATGTTCCAAGGCAGCCCTGTGTCTCCTGAAATTAGGAAACCCTCCTGGCCTCTAGGAATCAATCCATTCCTCCACCTCATCCCTAGGGTGTCGAGCCAAGCCACCAAGGCTGGGTGGCTGCAGCCACCAAGCCACCAAGCCTGGATGGGTCCAGGCCCACTCCCAATAACTGATCCCCATCCTGTTCACTGCCCACAGAGAGATCCCAGGGCCCGCATCCTCAAACCCCCCTTGGACATGCCAGTTCCCGCGATATACCAAGTTGGGCCACAAGTCAGCCGGGGTACATGTGTCCACGTCTGCCAGCCACTTAGCTCCTTAGTTAATCACACAGTGACAGGTACCAGTGTCCCAGGGGGAAAGGGGCAGGGCCATGGACCCCTTTCTCCTCCCTGCCCCTTGCACGAGCTGCAGCCCCACAGGTGGTCTTGGTTAGGAGAAAAATGAGTTTGACATCAATGGGAAGCCACTGGCTCTGCCTTCTGACCTCATTGTGGGTGGGGAGTCAAGGCCAGAGGGGTGATGCAGGGTCAAGGAGATGTCCCTTCTCCATCCGTTCCCCACGCAGGCTGCCTGCAGGCCCTCTCTCCTGCTTCCCTGTGCCTGCCCTCTGCTGGGCCCTTGTGGCCACGTCATGGTAGCTGACTGCTGCTGGGGAACCCGGAGCACTGCAGAGGTTTCGGCCTGGCCTCACTGGCGGCAGCTGGGGCTTTCTGGAGGAAGGGAGAGGAGACCAGCAGGTGGCAGAGGGGCGGCCTAACAGCAGGAGGGCGTTGCCCAAGCACAGTCCTGGCCTGGGGTGGCTGGAGGCCTGGCCAGCAGAGCTGGTGGGAATGCCCAGCTAAAGCCTAGGACCCCCAAGCTTCATAAGCTCTTGAGTCAGGGGCTAGGAGGGCCTATGGAAGGGGGAACTCGGGAGGAGGACAAGCAGAAAGACCACAGCCCTCCGGGCAGGGTGAAGAGGTCAGGTTTCAGCAGGCCCCCAGGGTCGGCTGTGCCTTGTCTTGTCCTCAAGGAGATTTGTCTTCTCCCTGAGCTGGGGGCTCTCAGAAGAAGAGGGGTGCGCTTGGGCACTGCTGAGGAGGTCACATACCAGTGGGAGAGGAAGGTGGAGGGGTCCCCAGCGGCTGGAGAGGGAAATCTCTGTGCTGGGGAACGTGGGCGTGGGGAGGTGCTGGGCGGTGTAGGGGAGGTGCTGGGCGGTGTAGGGGAGTGGCAGAGGAAGAGAGGGGACAGGAGAGGGGCCGAACCTGAGAAGCGCTAGGGAAAACCGGGCTGAAGAGGCGAGGGGAAGTGTCCCCCTCGAGGCCCCCAGGCCTGGCTGCTGCAGGACGTCCAGGGCCGAGGTGGCAACAAGAGTGCACACCTGTGCGCGCGCGCGCGCGCGCACACACCCCGCCCCCGCCCGGCAGTGTGCCAGACCTGCCTGGCCTGCCCCGGCACCCCGCATTTACAACCGCGGGGCGAGTCGAGGGAGCGACCCGAAACCTTTCATTTCCCCTTAGGGACACACAGCTGGGAGCGGAGGTGTCAGGGTTCAGCCCCGCCCCTCCCGGGACTCCTAGGGGGTTGATCCCTGTTACACCCCCCCACCCGCCAGAGCATTTGGAACCCAACGGCCTCCCTCCTGGGAGCCTAGTGTTGCGTTAATGTATGTTAATGACACAGGGCCACCGCAGTCCACTTCTGGCGTTCCTGGCGCGGCCCCGCGCCCTCCCCCCAGCTATGGAGAAGGGAGGGACACGGAGGCCCCACCCCCCGCCCCCCTCCCCGCGGAGCAATGAGGAAAACAGGAGTGAGTGAAGAGCTGTGATGTGGCTGGTGGGGAGGGGGGGCTGCCCCATCCCAGAGGGGCTGACCTCAGCCGGGGAGGAATGTGCAGGAGGCGGAGGGTAGGGGCGGAGCGGTGGGGGCAGGGCGACAGTCAGAGGCCCAGGGTTCCTGGTGGCCCCTCCCTCAGCCCCTCCCCCTCAGCTCTGACATGGCCCTCAGAAGGAAAGGGAAGCAGGCAAGGAAGGGAGGAGCTGATCTTCCCAAAAAGGTGGGCCGGGGGTCCCCTGGGAGCGTGGAGGCCAGGCTGGAGGGGGCGGTGGGAAGTGCCTGGACAGACTTCCCCAGGAGAGCCCCTGGGGCGGGTGGCAGAGTGGCAGGGCATCGAGGCCTCAGTTAGGTTCGCCCCAGGACCCGTGCCCAAGTCCCCAGGGCACACACGCTAGTACCCACGTGGCCAGAACGAGGAGAGTGGGGCCGCCAGCCTTGATGGCTAAAGCAGGTGGACATGTGGAGCCACGGAGGCCTAGCCCCAGCCAGGCTGTGGGAGCACTGGCTGCAGCCTTCCTCGGATGGGTGTCCTGTCCCAGCTGCACCACCCAGAGCCCAGGACAGGGTGCAGGGGACAGGCCCGCTGGTGATGAGGGACGGGGCAGCAGGTGCTGGACTTGGCACAACTGGCCAGTTACCTCCAGAAGGGAAGGCCTGGCAGGTTGTGCCACTGACGGGCAGTGCCAGGTCAAGGACCCGGGCAGGCCTCTGCCTGTGGGTGCCCTAGTGAAGGATGGAGGCCTAGGAGCCTGGGGTGGCGCTAGGGCAGGGGTGCAGGCAGGGACCTCAGCTGTCAAGACCCAGGCCCAAGCTGCCTGATCCGAGAGCCCAGGGGACTTCCAGAGCCCAGTGTGTCACTCGGCGAAGGGCCCTGCTCCTGGAGTGTCGTCTCCCTAAGGCCACTGCCCAGGGCCCAGCGTGCACCGGACCTGGGGAGCATAAAGGACACTGCTCACGGGAACATAGACAACTTGCACTCCTGGGGATCTTCCTTTCTGTTCCAGGGAGGGGACCCATCGGGAGAAAGGAGGGCAATTCAAAGTTTTCAGGTGGCCCTGGGACAGCCCAGTCCCTTCAGCTGGGAGTCGAGTCCCAGGATGTTGGAAAGATGGGAACTTGGGGGGTCATGGTCCCCTTTCTCAATATGGGCACAGGGCTGGGGGTAAATGAAACAGAGGCTGGAACCCTTGGGCCTAACGCACCAAAAGTAGTGGGGGCAGGTGGGGGGCACAGTGGGCGTGGGTGAGGACCTCAAAGGCACTTGCTGATCTTGGCTGCTTGGGTGGAAAATTGTAAACAGCCAAAGAATTTTGTTTGCTTGTGTGAGGCGGGCAGTGGGGAGGCTGCCCAGGTCCAAGGCAGAGAGCCTGGGAGGAAGGAGAGGTGCACCCTGGAAGCCCAGCAGTCCACACAGGGGTGTGTCCCTCCCCGGCCCCTCCTGACAGCCCCCAGTTCTCCCCTTGACCCCTACCCTACCCTGCCAGCCAGCCCCACCAGGCAAGCCACACCAGGCCTTGAGGCTCAGGAAAGAGGCATGACTCCACCCAACTGGGCCCAGACACTTCTTGGCAGGCGGTGGGCAGCAGAAGTACGTGCAGTTGAAGCGGCCGCACTGCCTCCTTCGCTGACCCCTGAGGCAATGCTGACCAGCTGTGGGGCTCTTGCAGGAGGACGCCTTTTTGGTGGGGGGGTTGAGGGGTAGAAGGCCACCTTTGTTCCCTGGCACGTTTGCCCAGGTGGACCTGAGGTCCCCACTCAGCCATTGTCCACACTCAGCCCCTCCAGAAAAGTGCCCCTGGCAGCACACATGGGGTGTGTCTGCCAGACTCAGCTTCAAGTCCGGCCTCCAGACCCTTCCCAGCTGAGGTGCCGAGGTGCAGGAGCCCTGTCCTGCCCGAGACAGTCAGACCCCTGGGTGCTCAGGGTTTGGTGGGGCACAGATGTGGGCCCCCGTCGGGACAAGGTGGTGCCTGACTGGGCCCACGCCCTGCGGGGCAGAGTAAGATCTGCTGACTGCCCTGCCCGCCCCACTCTCTGGCCCTCTGCTTCCGCTCCAGACTTGCTGCCATGGCAACCACTGGCAGCCAGGTGGCAGAGGTGTGGGCCCAAGTGGCCCAAGTGGTGAGGAAGGCCTGGGCAGGGTCCCGAGGGCCCATCAGACTTTCAGTTGAGAACCCCCTCCCCGACCTCCACCCCTCCCACCCCAGCTGGTTCCTGGGAATTGAGGTGGCAGCTGTGCCCCAGCTGCATCCCCGGTCCCCCTGGGGCGCCCCACCCGCTGTTCCCACTGCCTGCTGTGCAGAGCTGCCCAAGGCTGGGAGGGTCTTAATCTCTTCCTCCTCCTTTGGCCCGACTGGCAGCCACACTTCCAGACTGCTGCTTGGGATGCCCTACTGCCGTGAGGCCCGACGGGGAGGGGGTGGTCTCCCCTACCCACCCCTCCCTTGAGCCCGCTCCACTTTGGCCAGGCCACCATCTCCAGCCGTCCAGGCTGCCTGCCCGGTCACCCGATCTGCCGCCTGTAAACTTGACGGCCGTGTGGGGCGGTGGCTGGCTTGGTGGGGGCGGGAGCTGCTCCTTAAAGGAGCCGGCAGAGGATGCCCTCGGACCCCCAAGCTTCTCCCCTTCTTCAGGGCCAGGAGGGGCTAGGGTGGGGGACTTGCTGCTGGAGTTCTTGGTGGCCTTTGGGAAGGCAGCGTGAGTTGCGTGGCATCGCAGACCCCTCAGCCCAGAAGAGGCAAAGGCGGCAAGTGTCAGGGGAGGGGGAGAAGGAGGAGGGGCTGGCCCAGCAGGGGCCCCAGGGCTGTGGCCTCGGGCAGGGGTCGGGCAGGGGTCTGGAATGGGCCTTGGCAGCTGTGCCCCCTGCTTCATCCCACCCCAGGGCCTCGCCCCACACCAGGGCTCCCGGCGCCTGGCACCTGCACAGCCTGCCGGCAGGCGCTGTGGCCAAAGCTTGGCCCCATCGGAGGGGCTCAAAGATGGGGAAACCATGAGGACGAGGGTGGGGGGTGGGCTCAGGGAGGGGGGCCGGTAGCCCCCTCGCTGTGCTGAGAGACTGCCTCAGGCCCCTGGTGCTCCGCACTTGACTCCTCGGGTCTGACTGAAGTTTGAGTTCACAGAGTTTCTGTGTGTGACCAACTCAGCCCACCCTCGGTGGGGGGGGAGGCCACCTGGAGCTGGGACTGTTCAAGCAGCCCCCAGTTGGAGCAGGGGTGGGGCTCCCGCCCAGCCCCTGGGCCCAGGCACGGGGTCTCCTGGACCCACTACTCCCTCTGAGGAGTGAGTGCCAGAGTGTCTCTGAGTCAAAGGCAGTGATTGACGTTGCAGTGGGCTTTGCTCACCTGCATGTCCGGGAAGACAGGCGTGCACTCGAGCGTGCAGGCACACTCACACACACATACTCTTGACACACAGACACGTGTGTGAAGTGCACACATTACACAGACATGCACTGCATAAACACACATACAATGTCGTGTGTGCTCACACATGCATGCCACATGGCCTCACAGATGTGTGTGCATGCACATACACCACACACACGTGCAATACAGACACACAAAGCAACCCTCAAACATTCACACTCACAGGCCCCACCCCCCTGTTGGCTCCAGCGGAGACGGCACTTCTGTCCCTGGGCCTGTGGGCTCCCAGCCACCTGCAGAGGCTGGCCCCCTCCTGTTGCTCTCACCCCCTCGACCTGCTTGTTTTGCCCGTTGCACTTGGTGCCCTCTCAAACACACTGAACTGGGTCCTTGTTGGCTCTCTGCCACCTGCATGGGGACCCTGTCTGTCCCCCGGTGTCCCCAGCCCTAGTCCCAGGCTGGCGTGGAGTAGTCACCCAGAGTGGGAGTGTGTGCACGGAAGAGCGAGTCACTGCAGAGGGTGACGTGGTGGGGCGGGTGCCTGTCCTCGCCAGGGTGACCCCAAGGGTGTGCCCAGCGTGGGTGTGTCTGTGATTGTGGGCAGGCAGGGCACCCTCTGAGGGAGGGCGGGGAGGGCTCGGAAGCGGAATGCGACCCCCCAGCCTCCTTCCCCTAGGGCTGTAATCTGATCTCCGGGGACTCTCCCCCACCGCTGCCCTCCCTCGCCCTTGCTGTGACTCCTTCTCTTCCAGATCCCGGGGCAGAGTCCAGGGCGGCTCAAGGCTCCTCCGCACGCGCCTGCTGATCCCTGAGCGCCCAGAGCCAGGATGGGGCGGGCTGAGGCCGCTGCCATGATCCCAGGCCTGGCCCTGCTCTGGACAGCGGTGCTGGGGGGCGCCACCCCCAGCCCTCCACGCCTTCGGCTCTCCTTCCAAGGTAGGCACACCTGGCTGGTGGGAGGCCCAGGTCAGGGCCCGCAGGAGAGGGGCCCAGCGTGGGTAGGGGCACTGTGTTCACTGTCATACCACCTGGCCTGTGTGGACCACCTGATCCGGATTGGACTGGGAACACTCGTGGGCCACCTCCAGTTCACCCCACCCTGGCCTCAGTCCCCTGCCTCTCTGCCCACATTCTCCTCTGCTTTCCCAGCAAGCCCCCTCCTGTCCCCATGGCAACAGGCCCTGCCTCTGCACCATCCCTACCCCCAGGGAAGTGGAGATGTGGGGGCCCTCAGCCCCCTTCCACACCCCCTACCTGGTAGTGACCACTAGGCAGGGGCAGGTGGGATGGCAGAGCACGCTCGGCCTGATTTGGGGGCTGGGGTTCTGGCTTTCCCTGCGTGCCCGGCCTTCCCCAGAGCCCCAGCCACCCCGCACGCCTGCCCAGAGACACGCCTGCCCAGAGACGCTGCGTGTCTGAGCACGCCTCCGGAGCTCACCCAGCCCTCCCCTGGGAGCGGGGCTGGTGGTCGCGCTGCCTGCCCTGGAAGCTTCGTACCTGGGTGGGCCTCCATGAGTGTAAATCGACACAGCTGTGGGTCCACTTGTGTGTGGGCCAAGTCACACGGACAACCGTGGCCTGTAAGAGAGACAACAGACCGGGCCTGGGCAGCCCCAGCAGCGCACTCTCCCTGGTGCCCCAACTCTGCAGAGCTCCAGGCCCAGCATGGTCTCCGGACCTTCCGGCTGGCAAGGACCTGCTGCTACGAAGCTTTGCTGGTGGATGAGGAGCGCGGACGCCTGTTCGTGGGTGCAGAGAACCACGTGGCCTCTCTCAGCCTGGACAACATCAGCAAGCGTGCCAAGAAGGTGCCAGGAACCCCCAGCCTCGGCGCTGCCCAGGGAAGGAGCCCTGGAACCCCCCCCTCCAGGCTCCCTGGAGAGACCGGGGGGTGGGTCCCCCGAGTGGGCACCCTCAGCACAGAGAGAAGTCCCTGACCTGTGTCCCCGCTTCCCCAACCTCCCGTAGCTGGCCTGGCCGGCCCCTGTGGAATGGCGAGAGGAGTGCAACTGGGCCGGGAAGGACATTGGTGTGAGTGTTGGCGGCCCGGGTGGGGGCGGGGAGGGCAGCCCCTCACTCCCTGGACAGGGCAGTGCAAGAACAGAGGCCGGTCTGTTCTTTCGGGGATGGGGGTGGGGGTTGAGGTGGCTGAAGTCTGGAGGTAGTGAGTCAGGGGGGCACTCATGTGATTCTTCTTGGGGGCTTGTGAGTCATGGGGGCACCGCAGGCCTGTGCTTTCTGCTGCACCCATTCTGGTGAGAGCTGGGCCGGCTGGTCACCAGTGGCATCCAGGTCCCTGTACCCCTTGCTGGTACTTGCCTGGGCTTATGCAGAAGGAAGGGGCAAGGGTGCCACTGGTGAGCTGGGACCCCTTAGGGCTACTTCCTGCGGGGGAGGTCTCATTGTCCCTGCCCCTGCCTGCCTACCAGACTGAGTGCATGAACTTCGTGAAGCTGCTGCATTCCTACAACCAGACCCACTTGCTGGCCTGTGGCACAGGAGCCTTCCACCCCACCTGTGCGTTTGTGGAGGTGGGCCACCGGCTGGAGGTAAGACCAGACCCAGGCAGAGAGGGAGGCTGGGGGAGTAGAAGGGGGCTTGGCTGTAAGACTTGTCCCGCCTCCAGGAACCTGTGCTCCGGCTGGACCTTCGGAAGCTAGAGGATGGCAAGGGCAAGAGTCCCTATGACCCCAGGCATCGGGCTGCCTCCGTGCTGGTGGGTGAGTCCAAAGGCTGGGATCCCAGCACAACTCCTGAAACCGCACAAAGTTCTAAATCCTCCCTAGAGCGCTGAGGACCCCCATGGCTGTACTGACTCCCCAAGAGGCTGACAGCTCCACAGGCCCCCACCTTGCACCCCGAGAGCCTTCCGCTTGTCTGAGCAGCCCTTGCTCTGTCTGCAGGCGAAGAGCTGTATTCCGGGGTGGCTGCAGACCTCATGGGCCGGGACTTCACCATCTTCCGCAGCCTGGGCCGGCGTCCAAGTCTCCGAACAGAGCCACACGACTCCCGCTGGCTCAATGGTGAAAGACTGGTGGGGGTAGCAGGAGGGGACCGTCCTCCCCAACAGGGCAGGTGGGGAGTAAGGCCCATAAAATAAGTGAGCAAGGGGTGTAGCCTGGTCTCGCCAACTACTACCGTGTGGCAGGCCCTGCAAGGGACTAGGTGGGTATGGCCCATGCCCTCTTTGAGTTCACAGACCTCCTAACCAATGATAAAATCCATTCCGTTGGCCCAGAGACCAGTGAGTGAATGGGGGAGGGGAGGCGACCAGGTGGTGGTGGAGAGAGAGTTGGGGAAAGGCCACCACTCTGCTGAGGGTAGGTGTGAACCGGTTCCCAAAGCCCAGCAGGGCTGAGGGTGGGGTGTTCCAGGCAGCAGGAATGGCCAGTGCCCTGGAAAGGAACTGGCCAAGGAACAGATTCGCAAGAGATGCAATGATTGGACCCAGCAGAGTGTTTGAAAAAGGGGTGGGGCATCTGCTTTCCGGTAGAGAAAAAGATTCGAGAGTGAAGGTAATACCAGACACCGATGCCCCTCCTTTCTCAGCCTTTTGGACTGGGGAATTGTCCGGGGCAAGGTGAGACCCATGGTCTCTGCTGCCCTCTGGTGGCTGCTTCTTGGCTCTCAGGCCCCGATCCTTCGGAGTCTGTGCGGGAAGCACCTTCTGAACTTGGTTCTAGAAGCTGCCAGTAATCAGATGCTACTCTGTGGGCTCCTGTGAGAGGAAGAAGAGGCAGCACGAGGGTCTCATAGTGGATGGTGGGGGGGACGTCAGGGCCAGGAACTCGCTGACTTCACGCCTTCTCCTGTGGCCAGAGCCCAAGTTCATCAAGGTCTTCTGGATTCCTGAGAGCGAGAACCCAGATGACGACAAGATCTACTTCTTCTTCCGTGAGTCAGCAGTGGAGACTGCGCCCACACTGGGGCGCCTGTCTGTGTCCCGCGTGGGCCAGGTCTGCCGGGTGAGGATTCCCTGCGCCACATCCCGTGACCCTGCTCCGTCCCTTTGCCCTTTGGGGCCTCACCCTCATCCCCTCCAATGGACCCCACAGAATGACGTGGGTGGCCAGCGCAGCCTGGTCAACAAGTGGACCACGTTCCTGAAGGCGCGGCTGGTGTGCTCTGTGCCTGGCGTCGAGGGCGACACGCACTTTGACCAGCTCCGTGAGTGCCGGGAGTGGAGGCTGGACTGGGTGAAGGGAGGGCAGGGGCACAGATCCTGGAGCCTGGCTGGCCTGCTGGGCTGGGCGCCCTCCCCCAGCCAGGCCCCTTCCCCACAGAGGATGTGTTCCTGCTGCCTTCGAGGGACCGCTGGACCCCGATGCTCTATGCCGTCTTCTCCACTTCCAGGTGAGGGGCGAGAGGTGGCCAGGTGGGGCTGCCTGGGCCCTCTGGGCCTGCTACTCCACTCGTGTTCTTGCCCGCAGTGGCATCTTCCAGGGCTCCGCGGTGTGTGCGTACAGCATGAACGACGTGCGCCGGGCCTTCCTGGGACCCTTTGCACACAAAGAGGGGCCCATGCACCAGTGGGTGTCCTACCAGGGCCGTGTCCCCTACCCCCGGCCCGGCATGGTACGTAGTAGCCAGGGGGTCCCCACCACTACCCACTGAGAGCCTTGGGTAGAGAACTCAGGGTCTTCTTGGTCAAATGTGGTTTTTACCTTTTGTTATGGCTGAAAAAAGTCACCTTCCCCAAACAGGGCCCCTCTGCTTGAGACCACATCTCCTCCTCAGACTCCTGAGGGCAAAGCTTGGTCTCCTCTCTCAGCTTCCCAGGACTGGGCTCCGTCCACTCCCCACCCCCCACCATCACGTGCACACTCCATTCCCGACGTCTCCTGTGGAGGGCTGCCCACCAGGCCCTCACACCACGTCTCTGTCTTGTCCCTGTCTGCCTCCTCCCCACCCCCTAGTGCCCCAGCAAGACTTTTGGCACCTTCAGTTCCACCAAGGACTTCCCCGATGACGTCATCCAGTTTGCCCGGAACCACCCCCTCATGTACAATCCCATCCTGCCCGTGGGGGGGCGCCCTCTCTTCCTACGAGTGGGGGCCGAGTACACCTTCACCCAGATTGTTGTGGACCGTGTGGCAGCTGCTGATGGACACTATGACGTCCTCTTCATTGGCACAGGTCAGGGACCTCCAGACTGCCCACCGGCCCCAGGGCAGGCTCTGTGGCCTGCTAGTAGAAGTTCCCCTTGCCGAGCCCCTCTCCACGCTTTGCCTGGGCTGTGTCCCCATCTCCTGGATGCTGCTCTGATTGTTCCAACCACGCTGAGGGGGGAGGCCTCCAAGGGGAAGAGATCCTGGGCCCTGGGTGTCAAGGAACAGGAAGAGTCACCCGTCCCCTCTCACCCTTGCAGACGCCGGCACGGTGCTCAAGGTGATCTCCGTCCCTAAGGGCAGCCGGCCGAACGCTGAGGGGCTGCTCCTCGAGGAGCTGCATGTGTTTGAGGTGAGGCCCAGTGTCCATCCTGGGGCAGCCCCACACCACGCAGCCCTGGCCCCAGCACCCCTCCTCTCTCTCTCTCTCTCTCTCTCTCTCTCTCTCAGGACTCCGCTGCTGTCACCAGCATGCAAATCTCCTCCAAGAGGGTAAGTGGCCGCAAGTCTTGGGGGTGGAATGGACCAAGCTGGTCCCCTGGTGCCCCCAGTCCCATACCTCCCTTGGTAGTTTGAAGCCCTGGGTCTGGATATAGGCTCTCCCTTCCTTAGGTTGTGTCACCTGACATCTCGGTGTTTTCCTCTGTAAGGTGGGGGAGGGACCCCTGACCAATGGGAGGTGGGCACAGTGCCTCCTTAGGTCAGCCCAGAGCCCCTCCTAACCCCTAGCACCAGCTGTACGTAGCCTCGCGGAGCGCAGTGGCCCAGATCCCTCTGTACCGCTGCGCTGCCCATGGCCGCGCCTGCTCTGAATGCTGCCTGGCGAGGGACCCCTACTGCGCCTGGGACGGAGCTGCGTGCACACGCTTCCAGCCCAGTGCCAAGAGGTGGGCAGGGTCCAGCAAGGAGGGTCGCTGGGAGGGAGTCCTTGGTGAAATGAAAAAGGGCTCAGGGAGGCTCCAATATCCCCCCACATGCATCCTAGGAGGTTCCGGCGGCAAGACATAAAGAACGGTGACCCCAGAACGCTGTGCTCTGGGGGTGAGTGCCCAGCTGCCTCCACCTCTCATCCCTTGAAGATGCCCCACCCCGCCCTGCCGGGCCTGAATCTGACACCCCGTTGCTCCCAGACTTGTCCCAGCCCGCACTGCTGGAGCAGAAGGTGTTCGGTGTGGAGGGAGGCAGCGCCTTCCTGGAGTGTGAGCCGCGCTCGCTGCAGGCGCACGTGGAGTGGACGTTCCAGCGCGCAGGGGAGGGGACCAGCACCCCGGTGAGCTTGGGAGGGAGGGAGAGTTGGGGTGGGGGGGGCCCAACCCGGCCCTTATCCTGTCCCCTACAGCCGTGACTAATGAGGCCCTGGCCTGTTCTGCACAACTAGGTGAGGTCCAGCCCCCTCGCACAGTGAGGCTCCGCCCACTCCGACCCCTTATGTCCTGTTTGGTCCCTTACACCGGTGAGGCCCCATTGCCGCTGAGTAGGCTCCTGACTGCACCCCTCCGGCATCTCTCTCTCTCTCTCTCTCTCACACACACACACACACTCACACACGAGAAAAGCCCCGCCCTCACCCGGTCTATTGATTAAGAGCCCTGACCTGCTCCCCACGTTCAGGTGAACCGCTACCCTTTTTGGGTCTCCCCACTTGAAGACCATCAGCTTTCTTGCACAACCTTCAAATGTGCACCTGCGTGCGCCCCTTTCCTTTCCCACTCGGCCACCGTTTGCCTCTCCAGTCCCTCGTGGGGGCAGGGAGCCGTGTTCCCCACCCTGCCACCCCGCCTCATGCTGGTTTGGCCCGCAGGTGCCAGTGGTGGAGCGCGCGGAGCGCATGGCTCGGGGGCTGCTTCTGCGCGGGCTGCAGCGCGGGGACTCGGGCGCCTACTTGTGCGCGGCAGTGGAGCAGGGCTTTTCGCAACCGCTGCGTCGTCTGGTGTTGCACGTGTTGAGTGCTGCTCAGGCCGAAAGGCTGGCCCGAACCGAGGATGCGGCCCTCGCACCACCGGGCCCCAAGCTCTGGTACCGGGACTTCCTGCAGCTGGTGGAGCCGGGTGGCGGTGGCGCGAGCTCCCTGCGAATGTGCAGGCCGCAGCCCGCGCCGCGCCCAGCGCCTCCCGAGTCACAGAGGAAGGGTCGCAACCGGCGGACGCACGCCCCAGAGCTGCGTGCTGAGCGGGGGCCGCGCAGCGCAGCGCACTGGTGATTCGGCCATCTCCACGCAGGGGACTGGGGAGGACACACGACGACAGGCTGGAGAAGGGGCAGGCAGACCCTGGGAGACAGACGGCTAGGGGGCGGGCACACTGCTGTCCCAAGCCAACCGAGACTCCAACCCACAGGCTCCGGCCTAGGGGGAGACACGCTGGCTTATTTATTAACAGAAGATAACCCTTGAATGTAGCCCTGGGAGGAGCGGCCCAGGCAGGGCCCAGGGACCGGTTGGTCGGTAGGAGGCAGAGAAGCAGGGCTCCGTGACAATAACGTGGGCCAGGGAAGTACCTGGATTGTCCACCCTGGGAGAAGGACCTCCTTGTTGGGCAAGGAGCAGGAAGCTGTGAACAGGCCGGGCCGCTGGGGGCGGGGCGGGGCAGGCCCAATGTACTAATGCAATAAACACTTTATCAGCTGAAGCTGGAATGGCCCCAGCAGACAACGGCTGGTCCTAGGCCTCGCCGGGTGGCCCTGGCCACCTTCCTAGAGGTCTTGGGACCTCGGTTTCTTCTGTCTGAGGATGTTGTGGTGAGGGTTACAGGTGGTGACCGTGTGGCTGAATGGAGGGCCTGTGGAGATGCTGGCATGTACAGTATATTCTGAATAATATAATTTCTGGGCCAAGTGCTATGAAGAAAATAAAATTGGATGAAGTAGAAAAGAGTGTGAGCAGAAGGCCCCATAAGGGGGTTGACATCTGAGCTAAGTGATAAAGAGCCAGCCATGGGAATATGTAGGGGTAGAACATTCCAGGAGGGGAGAGTCAGTGCAAAGATCCTGAGGTGTGTTGGGCTTAGGTGTCGGGAGGCCAAGCCCCACCATCTTGCTTTGTCCCATCTGGGAAGAAGTGACACAGGACTCTAACAGCAGAGGCCGGGCCCTGAACTGGACCGCGTTCAGGTTCAGGGGAGGTGGGGCCCTGAACCCTTCCTTACACAGCCCCGAATGACCTGTGCACTCTTGTGAAGAGGAGGGAGGATCGGAACTCCATTGTGCCAAGTGCTTCAGACATGTGGTGGTATTTCCAGTTTCCCGTGTGCCATGGCTGGGAGGAAGCACTGTTATTCCAACTCACAGATGACAAAGCTGAGGTCAGGGAGGGGCCGTCCTTTACACCCAGTTGTAGGCTTAGTAATAGAAGTTTCGGCCAAGGTCCGCCCACAGACCAGCACAGGTGCCTGCATATACAGGAATATCTGCCCCCTTTTAGGTCTCTCTGAGCCCTGGAGGTCACCAGGCTCCAGTGGTCCATTACCCTCAATCCCTGGTGCCAGCGGGTCACACGGTGGTGGGTGCTTACCCCACATTTGCATGGCAAGGCGACCAGCTGCGGGCAAGGGTCTTGGGACACGGAGAAGTGGAGATGCATGGGGCCCCTGCACGCCTGGGCTGCCCATGGGGTACTGCTGCCGGGTGCAGCTTGTCTGAAGATACCAAGGCCTGTGTGTATGTGGGAGGTGGCGGGGCTCCCCAGGAAAGCCCTGGGCACGTGCCCCAGTGGAGGTACGCCCTGGCCTGACTTCCATCACCAGGTCAATAGTCCAGCCTGGCCCATGTGGGTCACTCCGCCTCTTCCCATGGCTGAGAGCTGTCCCCTCTAAATATAGCCCAGTGGGCTGAGCGCAGGCCTATTTTGGGCCCAGGCTGGGAGGTGGCCAGACCTTCCCCAGTTTCTCAGAGGGGCCACCGCTGCCTCCATCCTGTCCTGCGGCTGGGCACTGACCTCAGGCCTGCTGACTGCCCACCCGCATCATGCCTGAGGAGACCCAAGAAGGTAGGAGATGACTGAGGTGGGGCAAGGCCCCAGAACTGACCCTGTGGGCCAGGGAGAAACCCACCCCATCGCACTGACTTCACTTTCATAAGTAGCTACTCATCGGTCACCAGCTCCAGTAATGGGACCTGCACCCTGTAGATGGAAGGCCCACCATGCCCGGAGGCCCTCTCCTCAGGCCCTGCCTGCTCCCCCTGCAGGGGACACCAGGGGAACCACCCCACTGTGGCCAAGTGGGTGTGAGTCAGGCAGCTGCCTGGCCAGTTCAGCTCTTTCTTCAGGGAGGAACCTGGGATGGGGGCGGGCAGAGGTTGCACCCCCAGGGACTGCCAGGGGGTAGGCCTCCAGCTTCCTCCAACTTGGGCCTAGGTGGCCCCAACTGGCTAAAGGTTGGGGTCCCTTGGCTGGTCAGACGAATGGTTAGTTAAGACTTTGATGGCGGTGGTGGGGGGTTGGTGGAGATGGAAGGTCTATGGGGGATAAATGGTGATGGGAAACAAAGTTGTGCTCACTTTGGGGGCACATCTACTAAAATCGGAACGATACAGAGATTAGCATGGCGCCACCACAAGCAAGAAATCTGGAGGCTCGGAGGGGCCGGAGCGGGGACCCAGGAAGCTGCAGGTGCATTGCTCCTCGGGTCCATCCTGGCTCACCTGGTCGACTCTCCCCATCACATTTTCAATGCTTTAGGGGGGCAAATACATGGTGACGGAAGAGGATTTAGCTTCGGGTGGTGGGCACACAATGTGATATACAGATGGTGTGTCATAGAAATGGACACTTGAGACCTACGTAATCTTATTCACCAACGTCACCTCGATAGATTTAATTTAAAAATATTTTACACTGTAGGAGTGGCCCCGCCCCTGGTGATGGTGGTGGGGGAAGGTTATCTCCTCTTGGGGTCTTAATTAACAATGAGATTCACTGTGTGTTTCTCTGGGAGCAAACAGAATCTGAGTCCAACTTAGAAACTGCGGGCAAAGCACAGCCAAGTGCAAAGAGGGAGTTCAACACGACCCCAACGCACCGCCCAGACATGACAGGAACAGCCTTTTTCCCTCCTGAGCACGTCCGGGGGCAGTGTCCGGCAGAGGGGAAGGCAGAGTTATTGTTCACAGTGACAGGCCCAGAGCCCACTCACCTTAGCCCCTTTCGAGACATATCCCCACATCCCTGGCTGGTGTAGCTCAGTGGATTGAGCACCAGCCTGCGAACCAGAAGGTTGTCGGTTCAATTCCGAGTCAGGACACATCCCTGGGTTGTGGGCTGGTCTCCAGCTGGAAGTTTGTGCAAAACAACTGATTTGATGTAGCTTTCACACACTGATGTTTCCCTCTTTCTCCCCCCCTTCCCCTTTCTGAGAAAAATAAATGAAATTTTAAGTCTTTTTAAAAACTTATTTTAGATAGATTGTAAGGGAGGCAGAAAGAGAGGGAGGGAAACATCGATGTGTGAGAGAAACATCATCGGTTGCCTCTAGCATGACCCCCACTGGGAACCTGGCCCACAACCCAGGCATGTGCCCCGATGGGAATCAAACTGGAGACCCTTTGGTTCCCAGGCAGGCTCTCAGGCCACTGAGCCACACCAACCAGGGCCATTGGTTGCTTCTTATATGTGCCCTGAGCAGAGATCAAACCTGCACCATTGGTGGGTCTAGGCGATGCTCTAACCAACTGAGCTATGCGACCAGGTTAAAAAGAAAGTCCCTGCTTTTTTGATCTAGCAATTCTGCTTCTGGGAATCTGTCCTTATTAACTATTGTGAAATTGAGAGAAAACCCCATCCTCAACGATGCATGTCCTTTTCTAGGGGTTGTTAGTTTCAGAAGGGAACTGGAAATAACCTAAACGCCCAGGCAGCTTCAAAGGGAGGCCTGAAGGAGGGCTGAGAGACAGTGTGATAACAAAAGCAGGTCTCCCACTGTGATTCTGAGTGAAAACAGCAGAATCACGCTGGGCGTGTTGAAGAACACAGAGCCAAGGCCAGGAGGGAGAGGCAGCGCTGGCTAGCACAGGCTGCTTTCGCTGGGGACCAGAGAGCACCAGGCTCTGGCCTGATGGCTCACTCCCTGGGTCTGCAAGGAAAACTGACAGCGGAAGACGCAGGAATGAACTCCATGCGCTGAGGGTTTATTCCTTTGAAGCTGACACTCTTCTCTAGAAATGAGCAAGCAGAGGAATACCTACCTGAAAGTCCCGGAGATGCTTGGATGGAAACAAATGTGAACGAGCCAAGTGGACCTCCTGCTGCTGTGGGTGAACCAGGCCTATAGGGTCCCAGGGTTGTCCTGGCTCCAAAATCAAGGGTCATTCCTGAGATGCCCTGTCCCCATCTCCTCTGAGCCCATACTGCCTCTGTAAGCCACCTAGAAGGGAGGGGGTGACCCACTGGTTAAACCGACTCTGTGCTGCCCCAGCAGACACCATGGCACCGACGAGCCAGAGGAACAGGGCACCGCTGGCCCCCAACCATGTGCAGGAGGTGCGTCTGCACCAGGTGGATTCCATCAGCGACCTACACAGCGGAGGTCAGGGGGCAGGGGAGCGGGTGGGTGTATGGGGAGGAAAGGAAAGCAGGTGCACCCACTGCCACCCTGATGCCCCTCTTTCCCCACAGGCTCACTGCACTCCTACCTGGCCGAGGAGGCACAGCCGTGGGACGAGCTGCTGGGCATCTTGCCACCATCGCTGTGTGCCCAGCCTGGCTGCAGCCCCGTGCCCAGCCGTGGGGGGTTCCTGCTGCTGCTTGCATTGCTGGTGTTCACCTGCCTGGCACTCGCCATCCTGGCTGTCTACTTGAGTGGTATGGGGGCGCAAAGCCAGGGGGAATCAAGGGCAAAGAGGCGGGACTGGGAGGCCCCTGTGTGGCTGAAGGGAGCAACTGCAGCGGCCAAGGCAGTGAAGGGGGGTGGGTGCCCACGGCACCCTGTGGCGCTGAGCTGGATGGGCGCAGAGCCTGGTAACCCCCACCCCCGCTGCCTGTCCACAGTGCTGCAGAGCGAGTCCCTACACATGCTGGCCCACACACTGCACAAGCAGGAGGAGACGCTGCTCAGACTCCGGCTAGCCAGCCTCAGCCAGCTGCGGAGGCTCAACTCCAGCGAGGCCCGAGCACCCAGCTGAGTTGCCGCTCAGACCCGGAGTCTGGGGGTGTGTGCGCCGGGGAATGAAGTGGCCACTGACAGGTTCCTCCTCTCCCACTGCTGCTCCACACTACTTCCTTGGTGAGGTTTTTGTGTAAACCTGACCCGACTCCACAGCTGCTGTTTCTCCTCGCTTCTTCGGGCCAAGCCTAGCCAAGCCTCCAGGGGCCAAGGCTCTGTTTTGGGTGGCCCAAGGTCAAGAGGAAGTGACACCAGCCTCCCGGGCCCTCCCGTGGCCTGTCTGCCCTCTTTGGCATCCCCCAGATAGCAGCTCAGAAGTCTAGAAATATCTGCCCCACCCGTCACCCAAGCTTTGCCAAGTCTCCTGGCGGGGGGTGTAGCCTCAACTCTCAAAGACAGGCCAGACTGTGATTAGATGGCCCCTCCCCAGGGCCATCTGGAGAGACTCTTGGAGGGCAAGGGTGAGATAGAATTGGGAAGAACAATCGGGGCCCAGGCTTGGGGTGGGGTGCAGGGAGGAAGGGCAGGCAGTGACACCCAGGAGCCAGGGCCACAGAAGGCTGAGCACTCAGTTTAATTATCTCTAATATTCTTTAAAAATTAGCACAGAAATCCATTCCAGATAGCCTCACCTCCCCACCTGTTGTGACATTTGTCCAGATGTCACCCCCCCCAAGGAAGTGGTTCATCCCTGGGGAGCAAGGCCTGAGAAAGGAATCGATGACCTTCCGACTGCCTGCCCCACTGAGACAGGGCAGGCAGAGACCACAGTGGCCGAGTGTGGGGGTGGAGGGCCGGGACACCAAGTGGCCTGGCCTCCAGCCACCCACCCCAAGGTCTTTTTGGTTTAGTCATTAAAAAAATAAAGTGACAATTTCTGGCAGGCACCAGTGCACTGTCTCCTGTTAAAAATACGGGCAAGGGTGGGGGCAGTCTCCTCTTCGGCGGGTCCCGTCTCACAGGATATCTGCCCGCTTGTCCCGCACTCGGCTACGAGCCTTGGTCCGTGCTTTGAAGGCAGCGGCATTGTACAGGTGCTGGAATGGGAGCAGAGAGCGATGAGCTGGGGGGCTGGGAGGGGAGGCCTGGGCTTCTCCTCCACTCCCGCCGAGCTCCGGACCCCTGGGCGGCGGAGTGGAGGGAGAATACAGGCGCCCGAGGGTGCAGACCTTCTCAAACCGGGACAGCTTGCAGGCCTTCAGGGCCGTGGCGTCCAGCACCAGCACGGGGCCCAAGCCAAAGATGTCACGGAGGAGCTCGTTGTTCTGGGGGCAAAGAGGGCAGTGAGCCCAGGCCGTCTGAAGCACCCGAGCGGGGACCCCGCCCCGCCGGCCTTCCCACCTGGAGGTGGTGGTGCATGCCCGAGCCCAGCACGTCCTTAAAGGCAGTGTAAACCCGGCGCCGGGCCCAGCTGTCCACGTAGAGCACCTCGAGGCCGAAGCGGACTGTCTCCTCCTCACACTCGCTGCCCTGCAGAGTAGAGGGGCCCACAGAGCTGGGCTTGGTGGCCGTGCCCGGGGACACACTCTGGCCAGGACACAGGCATCCTCACACGCACCTCGACAGAGTGCAGCACAGCCCGGAAAGTGCAGCGCTGCCGCCGGCGGTCGGCTTTGGCACGGTACTTGTTGCTGTCGGTGGCCAGGCTGCGCAGGACGCTGCAGAGGGCATCCATGTCCTCGTAAACAAAGTCCTCCTGTGGCGGGGATGGCGGTGGCCTCATGAGCCCTGCTGGCTCTCAGCGTGGGGTGGCCTGAGCCCGTCCTTTCACTGAGTTAGTCATTTTCTCCTCTGCCTGGCCCCCTGGAATCCCTTCTCAGCCAGACACTCCCCTCCCCAGCTTGGGGCCCCCAATACAGTTCCTAGTACCTACATCTATATGGGGGCTACTTCCATGTACAGTGACCCAAGGCTGCCCTGTTTTCTGGGGCATCCCCTGTATCCAGCCTGGGATGGGCACGTGGGGTCGGCAGGCACCACCTCCCTCACACCTCAAGGTCCCGGGCGAGCTCGAAAAGCAGCGCGATAGTCTCGCCAGCAGCGATCCGCAGGTTCACAGTTTCACTGGACAAGAGCTGGGGTAGCCGAGGCAGCTGCCTGGGGAGGAGCCAAGCTGAGCTACATGTGTGGGCTAGGGACCCCTTCAGCGTTCCCTATGGTCCCCTGTGGCAGTCACCCCTACCTGTCAAGGATGTGGCTGATGTGGGTGCTGGGGCAGATGGTAAGGAGCAATGCCCAGGCTTGCAGGGCAGCGCAGAACAGGCCATGCAGGCTGGCAGGGGCTGTGGAGCCATCCACGCTGCAGGACTGGCTGAAAATGCCTTCCAAGCAGGTGAGGCAAAAGAGCAGGTCCTAGGGGCACAGGGAGGTGGGGGAGGGGCTCAGGGGCAGAGCTAGGGCCTAGGTGCTCTATTACCTGTGACCGAAGGCCACTTACCTGGACATCAGCAGCAGCCACGTAGCAGCCCAAGCCCAGAGCGGAAGCACACTGTTGGGACGACAAAGCCAGGTGACGGTCAGAGGCTGAGCCTTGGTTCCCAGCCATGGGGGCTGACCCTCAGAGCAAGGGAGCCTGGAGGCGGTTGGAACCCACCTCTCTGCTTAGGGACTGGCAGAGGGGAGGGTGGCACGGAGCACGGAAAACTCACGTGGAGCCGGGCAGTGGGGCTGGCTGTGCTGTCACTAAGCACGGAGATCAGGAGGGGCTGCAGGCCATGGAACAGCTCCTCACCCTTGGGGCCAGGGCCCAGCTGCACGCAGAGCAGGCCCAGCACGGCGGCGGCCAGGGCCTGCTCCTCGCCCTTCCCTGCGGGGGTGCTTTTCAGTCAGCCGACATGCAAAGGTGAGCCGTGGGCCATTTCAGGTCCCCCATGTGTCCCACAGCCAACCTTTTTTGAGGCACTTTTCCAAGGCATCAGCCAGCGTAAGGCTGCGCTCCAGCAGGAAGTCGGGGAGCAGGCGGGACGCCAGGACCAGCCGCAAGTTCTCAAGAGCACCTTGCCGGATCTTGGCACTGGGGGATGAAGAGGAGGGTGTCCTGTGAGCCAGCCTGACCTGGGTCACATCTGGCATGGGCTGAGCAGGGACAGGGTTGCAGGGCTTAGCTGGCAGTCAGGGGTACCTCTTATCTGTGAGGCAATCCACATACTCCTTCAACTTCTCCTCAAGGTCCTCCTGCTGGCCCTGCTCATCCACGGCATCCCCCCCTGCAAGGCCAGCTGGTCAGCCCTGCTCCTTACCCTGGGCCACAGAGCCCCCACTGAGTCCCTGCCAAACCGCTCTCACCAGGGCTGTCCTCGGCCACGGTGCTAAGAAGGCTGGGGCAGTCACTGGTGGTGCTGCGGGCCTCGCTGGCTGCCTCATCCTCACTGGAGCCTGAGTCAGCTTGGGCACTGCTGCTCCGGGCACCTGGGGGGTGAAATGGGGCACTTGGCCTGCCTCCACTGAGGAGTGATGGCTGCAGGTGTCTCACCCTGCCTCACGGCCCCACCAGACAGATGCTGCCCCCTCTCAGAGATGAGAAAACCAAGGCTGACGTGGGAGGCACAAGGGCTGATGCAAAGAACACTGAGCCAGGAAGCACGCAAGAGGGAGCAAGGCCTACGTGTTGGAGAGCATGTGGCACCAGGCCCAGCCCGGGAAAACCTGGCAGGCTTGGCGAACAGAGCCTTCCTGAGACCAGAGCTTTAAGGAGGAGACAGAGAGCCAGGAAGGGGCAGAAGGGGCTGCACAGGCCCCACGTAGGCCTGCCACCCGGTCTGTAGTGGGAGCAAACCCAGGCAGATCCTGGGGCAGCTCAGCTACCGCCCAGATTATGCCTTCAAATAGCCAGCACAAGAGTCAGAGACTTAAGAGAGTCAGACAGACCTGGGGTTCATATCCCAGCTGTACATTTTAACAGGGGTACACCCAGCTATGCCTACCCTTCAAAGCCTCAGTTTCTCTGCAAAACAGAGAAGAGTACCTTTTTGGATAAGGCAAGTGAACAATGACTAAATACAAGACTAGTTATGGCTTTCCTGTGGAAGGACAAGGTCACCAGGTCACCCATCTGCCCTGTGGGCAGAGGCCTAGTTCCCAGTGGATGTAGGTGGATGCCTCAGGCCTCAAGCCTACAGTCTTCTGAGCTCCCCTCGGTCCATCCCTGGCCTTCAGCCCTGGATGAAAGAGCACAAAGCTTCCTCCTGCCCCTGGGGAGTGGCCCCGACTGCCCTGAAAATCCGCAAACACGGGCTAGCGTCAGGCGCAGCAGAACTGAACGCTGCTGTGCGTGGCTTCTGCTTTGGCCAGGGCTGCTGCCACAGCTGAGCCCAAAATGGCTTCTGGTCACCAGGATGGTCCTATTTCTCAGGAACTACCTGCTCCATGACTGCTCTGGACAAAGTTCAGCACCCATACAGGCCTCCACTCATCTCTTTTCTCACTGCCCTACCAGCCAAAGCAGCCCAGCCTTCCCTTATTTGCCCATGTGGCATGACCCCTCCAGATGCCAGGTGTTAGCACAATGCATTCACTCCCTGTGGCTCTCTTCTCTCCACCTTTTCAGACCCACTCAGAAGCCCCAACCTTGAGGCTTCCTTGGTTCCTAAATCTGGAGGTGACACCACTCTGAGCACTTTTCCCCCCACAACCAGTCCTTGTGGACTATCACTACCCTCTTAGATGTCCCCCTACCCAAACCCCATTAGGGCGGTGGCCAGGTCTCAGCTGTGTCTAGCAGGCCCTGATCCCTGCAAAGTAAACATATGTGTTTACTACAGTAGGACACTGGTGTACGCTGATAAGAGTCTCAGGGCTGTCTCAGGTTCCAGGGCTCTCATCCACCCTCTGGGGCCAGGTCCACCAGGGCGGATATCCTGTAGTTTACCTGTCGCCCTCTCCCTTCAGTTTTCCCCCAGGCCTCCCAAGAACCTCCTAGTCCAGTCCGAGAAAGAATTAGGGATCGGGAAGGGGGCGAGCTTCCTACTTTGTCCTGGGGGAATCTGTCTGCCAAAGCAGACAACTGGGGCGAAGGGGCCTTGGGAAAACCAAGTCCGGGAGGTGCCCACCGGGTCAGGGTCAGGAGCGCAGGCTCCGGACGCGCGAGCAGCGAGCGTGCTGAAGTTCTGCGCACACGTGGCCGCTGTCTGCTGGGGCACGTGCCTGCCGCGGGGGAGTTGCGAGAAGCGGCGCCAAGCTGATCCAGGCAGGAGTTCCCATCCAGGACCCTCAGGGACACCGACAGGGACCCACGCAAAGTCCTTTGCTCGCCGTTCACCAGTTGTCCAGCGTCCACACTTACCACCTCTGCCGCGCTGGCTGCCCTTTCGGGGCGCGCTGCCCTTATGAGCGCGGGGCATACCGGGAATCTGTCGCGAGGGGGCGCAGGGTCAGGGACCCGGCGGGCTGGGGCTCCAGACCAGCGAAACGCCGGCTGGTGCACTGAGCTGAGACTTGGGCAAGCGACGGGAGCCACACGCCGCGAGCACCACCATCTTCGCTAGGTGCCCGCCCTGACAAACCGGTCGAAGCTCCCCGCCCCACTAGACAGGTTGCCGGGAAGGCGAGTTCCTGGCCACTCCATTCAGACTCACAGCCACGCGGCCAGAACTACTATTCCCAGGAGGCTGCGCGCGCAGATTATCGCTGGGCGCAGGGCACCTCGGGAATTGTAGTCTACTCCCGTGACCCTTAAACCCACGACACTCTAGCTGAACTATGCACCCACAATGCTCAGTCTTTCCCCACACCCCCAGCATGCACACACGCACGATTGTTAACTCTGAAGCTGAGCTGCCCACCATGCAGGAGCCACATCTCTGGGTACTGGCAGCCGGACACGCTACTGCATGAGCAAGGGGTTTGCGATGACATGGTGAACAGCCAAATCTCAGGCAATGAAAGAAAAAGTAACTTTATGATGAAAGCAAAGTACAGACAACAGTTTAAGCGCGTACAGACCTTAGCCAAGATCCTGAGGTCCACCTGCCCTTGGACAGGTCTCCTTCTACCTCTCTGTGGACCCAGTGACATGTAGGAACAGAGCCCTGCATTGGCAACCCTAACCATCTGGAACATTGTCTCTCTCTCTCCCTGGGACGGCTTCCTTTTTAGGAAGGATCAGGTGATCTCAGAGAGCCTCTGGTTTTAAACGTGTAAAGGTTTCCTTCTGACACCTTCCTCTCCCCAGGGACCCATGGGAAGCAGGGCGTTGGATGGAAGGACTGTCTAAGCTGAAGAGAACAAAGTGGGACAGAACCCTCAAGGACTGGGAAAGGCAGCAGGGACCAGAGGGTAGCAGCAGGTATCCTGGCTTCATGCTGTTTCTTCAGGCCCCAGGCTCAGGCCTGGGCTCCTGACAGGTGGGGCCTGCCCAGCCCCAGTAGCAGCTGCAGCGGAAGGACTCCCAAGCTCCAGGGCTGCCATCTGGCTGCAGGTGCAGAAAGGCTTCCAGCTGTCCTGGATCTTGCCGGACACAGCGCCCATGGCCATGGCACCACTGCTGACTGCAGGCTATGGCTGCTCTGGTCACATTAATCACATAGGGGCCCAGGGTGCCCACCAGGTAGTCACGAAGATGCCAGCACTTCTCCTGAGGAAAAGGGAGGGATGTATGAGTGTGCTTGCTCCATGGCCCTGACGTGGTCCCTCCCCTACCCTGGGACCCCCAACATGGGCTGCGTGGCAGGCCGGAGGGGGCCGTGTTCACCTCAGAGCTGGAGATGCTCAGGTCTCCCCAGAGCACCACGCCGGCGGCCCCCAGTGCTGCACTGACACCGATGGTCTGCACAAGGTCATCCTGGAGGCAGAGAGCTGCTAAGCCAAAGCTGAGCTGGCCAGATCCATCTGGGCCTATCTCCACTTTCCAGACACTTCCCTGGCTCATTGCCATGACCTGATTTCACCTCTATAGGAGGGCCCTGTGGCACTAAGCCCCTGAGTGGCCTCTCAGGCCCTCCACTCAGACAACGTCTCCTGAGATCGGGGCACCAAAAGCCAAGCCTCACCTTCCCCAAGATCTTCCAGGTTTCCAGGGCAGAGCTGCACTGTGTCATATGCTCCAGGATAGGACCGCCTCCCCTCTGAGATAGACGAGGGCCTCCCCACCAGGTCCCCGTGGGCAAGATTGTCCCCTTAGACCTTCCTAGGCCAGGGCCATGTCTCCCACTGGAGATCAGCTTTCCCTCACCTGGGAAAGGAACCTGCCAGAGCTCTGGTACGTGAGACGGGTGTAGGCCAAGACAGGCAGGGGGTGTAGGTGCCCAGCGCAGGCCACTCGGAAGGCCTCCTCCAGGCGGTGTCGGACAAATGCCTGTCGGTGAGCAGGTGGCAGCCTGGGTGGCAGGTAGATGCTGGGGAAGAGGGCACTGGAGGCAGCCCAGAGCCAGTGCAGCTGGGTATTGCGGGCACGGGTGGCTGCATGGCAGTGGCCCGTATAATTGGAACCCACACCATGCCAGCCATTGCCACAGGCCGGGAAGCGATAGAAACCCCAGAGCCCACGGGGCTGCAGTGCCTGGCCCAGCCGCAGTGTGCCCTCCATCAGGGCACGGGCTGCTTGTTCAAAGCCAGCTCGGGCCTTGAGGAGCTGCTCCTGGGGGTCCAGATGGGGGAATACCCGCTGTGCCCAAGCCCACGAGGCATCCTGGTAGGCTCGGTGGCGGCCCCAGTTCCCAGCCCAGAGTGGGCACCATTCTTCCCAGTCCAGCACTGCCAGGCCAGTGAAGCCAGTTCCCAGGCTGCGGTGGATCTGGTAAGCAGCTTGTGCCAGGTGGTGGTCAAGGAGCACTGCTTGAGGGATGCCTCCATTGTGAGCTGTGCCCCTGGGTCCAAAGTAGGGATAGAAGCCTAGCTGGTTTTTGTAGAAGATAGTGATGTTCTGGCCACGGAAACGCTGGGCACGGTTGGCTATGATGCCCAGGGCGTCCAGTGGCAGGTGCACACCGAAGCGGGCTCTACAGCGTGCTGAGGGCACGTTCCACAGCACGGAGAAGGGGCGGTCAGGGGCCCACAGTAGGGGGTGGCAACACCCTAGGCATAGGGCCACCCCCAGCACCAGAGCCTCGCCTAGCTGCATGGTCACGCCCCAGGAATGGAAACCTGCAGGAGAGAGGGTGTGAGCTTAGAGACCAAGGCCATACCTTCCACCTAGCAGGGAAAGCTGGGAAAACTTCCCAGGCTCCTGTCCACAAGGGGGTGGGGAAAGCATGGTCCCCAGGGCTCCCACAGTCCTCTCAGCACAGCCACACCCTAAGCTGGCCTGCACCGCTCCCCTCCCTCATCCTTCATCTCTGACACCTCCCCCACCCACAGCTTTTGTAAGTCCCCTTCTTTCCTCTGCCCACCTGCTTTCCTACCCCAAGAATACTCAGCCCCCACCCTGCCTCCTCTCAGCACTTAGGTCTCCACTGTGATGTCCCCTCCCCTGGGAGGCCTCCTGGATCTCCGGGCAGAGGGCGCTGGGGCTCCCAGTCCCAGCACAGACCCTGCCATAGCATTCCTGTCCATCGCCCTCTCCGCTTATCCCCCAGGTCAAGGTCCTATCTGTTGCTCTCATTCCCCATTGCTTGTGCCCAGTCCAGGGCCTGACACACAATAGGTATACAGCAAATGGTGGGTGTGAGTAGTGAGTGAATGTGGAAGAGAAGAAACGCCCTTTCTCCTGGGCCTGGCAAAGTGATAAGGGCAAAGGGCAGGTGTCCTGCCATCCATGGCCCCAGAGCCAAGGTGGATCGGGGGGCTCTTGCAGGGATAGGGGACCTCAGATGAGGCTGGGTGGGAGTCAGCAAATAAACTGTCATAGCTACACCCGACAGAAGCCTTTATTCAGCCACACAGACAGGTCAGAGCTACAGCCAGGGAGGAAACCATCACCAGCCCCACTGGCACTCGAGACCTGGCCAAGCTAGAGCTGCCCCCAGGGGCCAGTGGGCTGAGGCTGGGACTGCCCTGGGGAGTCCACTGAACCAGAAAGACAGTGCCTTGCCTTAGGTGGCCCTCAGATGTCCTTCTCCATCCAAAATATGGGGCGTCCTCTCAAGTCATGGTACTGTGTCTCTAGTGGGCTTTGTGGAGGGCGGGGTGAGGTGGTCAAGGGCTTAGGCAGCGGAGGGGGTGGTGGCAATGGTGGCCCTTTGGGGGCTCTTGAGGCAGCTTGGGCAGTCAGGCTAGGGGTCTTGGAGGGTGGCCATGGGGAAGGGGCCCTGGGGAAGGCACTGAGCAGAGTGGTGGGCAGCCGTTGGCTGGTGAAGACCAGGCCCTGGACAGGCTCGCCCAGCTGGTAGCCAAGGTGGGCATAGAAGTGCAGCTGGTCATGGGTGGTGAGGTGTAACCGGCGGAAGCCCCGGGCCCGAGCAAAGACCTCGAGGCCCTCCATGAGGCAGCGGCCAAAGCCACGGCCCCTCAGGGCCCGGGCCACCACCACCGTCTCCACTAGGAGGCTCTGGGGCCTGTCTAGCACCCGTGACAGGCGGGCATGTCCCACCACAATGGGAGCTTTCCCTGGCACAGGGTGGGGACTCAGCAGCATCAGGCAGAGGGGGAAGTTGTCTGAGGACTGGCCCAAGGAGTGCAAGCGGGAGGCGTGGCTGCGGGGCCACTGCTCGTTGATGAGGTCGGCACAGGCATCCAGGAGCTCGGGTCGGTGGTGCACAGGCTCCAGGGTCAGCTCAGCCAGGCTGGGGGTGGGGGTCTCCTCTGGCTGGAGCGCAGGATCCAAGGTCAGCTCAGTCGAGCCACGACTGAGGGTCATCTCTGGATGGCATGCAGGACCCGGGGTCAGCTCAGCTAGCCTGGGGCTCAGGGTCAGCTCTGGCTGGTGTGTAGGATCCTGGGTCAGCTTGGCCAGGTTGGAGCTCAGGGTCAACTCTAGCTGGCAGGCAGGATCCAGAGTGAGCTCAGCTGGGCTGGTACTCAGGATCAGCTCCACCCAGTGGGTTTGGGGTGTCCTCCCCCACACTGAATGGAGGCTGAGGGCTAAAAGCTGGGGCAGAACCCAAAAGCCCTGGCCCCAGCCTGCTCTGGCCACAGATGTGTCCTCCTCAGGACAGGGGACCCAGTCCTACACCATCGCAGCTGGCTGGCTATCACAGAACATGCAAACCAGACACAGTGGCCCCTGCTTAAACCCACCGAGGCTCCCTTTGGAGGCAACACGGCTGTCCCCAGGAGCTCCTCTATTCCTCCCTTTCCTAAATTCCTAAAATTAAAAGGTCACCCTTTTTAACCACGTGGGCCATGCCCACCACTTAACTGATCCTGGAGCGCCACTCACCCAACTCAACAGGCTGTTTGACCTCCCTGGACCATCTTCCCTGCCTGGGACACACAATCCATGGCCCCCTCGATATGGCACTTTTTTTTTAGTGCTTACAATAATGAACTTATTATTTTCATAGTTCGGGAGGACGATGATCTGAAATGAGTCTCACTGGGCTAAAATCAAGGTTTTGTGGGGTTGATCCTTCAGGGGGCTCTAGGTAAAAATCCATTTCCTCACCTTTTCTCCAGCTTCTAGAGACCACCTGTTTTCTTTGGCTCGTGGGCCCCTCTCCCTCTTCAAAGCCAGCAATGGCATCACACCTCCCCCTCTCTCAGGACATTTAGCTAATTGGGCAGGAACCCAACTGTCCCTTCCAACGGAGCCCCAGCAGCACTAACAGCAGTGCCACTCCTGCAAGCCTGGTTCCCCACTGGCCTGAGTTTCATAGCCACCATAGATAAGGACCACAGCTTCCTTCCTGCATCCACGGGGGATCCAACGGCCACCAGGTTGGGGGCCCAGACCTCCTGCACTCAAACCCCATTGTTTGCCCATGCTGCTCCAAGCCCTGCTGGCAGGAGGGTCTGTGCTGGGGGAATTTCTGGCAGTTGGGGGTGGGGGAGGCGCTGAGCCGCACCATTCTACTCACCTTTTCACCAGAGGGAACGTCCTGGCTCCCCTTCCCCACCTCCCCAGGAAGGACCCCAAAGCTTGAGGCCAATTTCATGCTGGTCAGTAACAGGCAGCCCCCTCCCCTCACGCCACATTCCATTTAGAAGGCTATAAGCCCCTCACCTACAATCTGCCACTTCTGCAGCAGCCGCACCCCTCGCCCAGGAGAGAGGAAGCCCCAGGTTCTGCCTCTAGGTCAGGAACCCCAGGCTTCCCTGCGGGTTTAACCCCTTCAGTACCTACCCAACCCACTGTGGGCGGGGTTCCTGGATTGTCAGAGACAGGCGGCACCGTCCCTCCTGTGCCTCGGTTTCCCCCTCCCTCCTAGTGGGCCATAAACCGTGGACTTTCGGGGGTACAGGGCTTCGGGAACTTGACTCTGGGTGGGTGTGTCTCGGCATGCTCTGGGAGGGAACCACAGACACAGGGAGATCATGTGGGGCGGACAGAGCACTGGGGACAAAAAGAACTGACACAGCGCGCGTGGGGAGGGGATGGTACTGACATGTTGAAGCCGGGCTCCAGGATGCTCGGGGTGCAGGCTCCGCACCGATCCGGATCTTGCTCGGAGACGCTGGCTCGGAGTCCTCCGTCGGTCTGCGCTGCCCCCTAGCGGTGCGGCGGACGCACTGAAGCGGCCGCGGCTCGAGACGCACCTCTAGGTCAGTCTCCTGGGGCGGCCAGGCCCCGCCCACCGGCCAATGCAACTGAACACAGACCCGACGCAGGCTCCTCCTCCGCCATGGCCCCACCTCTGCCCCGCCTTCTGGTGACGAGCCCGGCCGTGTTCGTTGTGCGCCACAGCTGACTCCAGGTCGGCTCCCTTTCTCGTTGGCCCCGCCCCTCCCCATACAGGCCCAGTACCCGGTTCCCCGCGTCACCGCTTAGGTCCCGCCTCTGTGCGGCTCACGGAACCCCAGCCCGTGCGCAGCGTGCCACAGCCTGGGCCGGGTGCAGGCCCTTCCTCCAGCTGGCTCGGTTTCCGCCTCACCCTGGGCTCACACTGATCTCGCCCCCGCGCCGCTTCGTCTCAGCTCCCGCTGGCCTCCCGTCTCCGCCAAGCATGGAAAAGGCCAAGTGGAGCTTCCTCCTGAGCTTTGGGCCCCACCCTGGGAAGCAGCCACCCTCGGACAGAGATCAGATTTGAGAGAGCGGAGTCTTTCTTGTGCCCTCTGGATCCCGGAGCCTGCACGTTTTAGGCGCTCAATAAACAGCTCTTCGAAGTAAGAATCATGTCTACTTTACTTACAGGGCTGGTGCCTCTGAGCGGATTCAGGTTGTGTGAAGGGCTGGTTACCGTCAACACAGTAGGAGCCAAAGGGCTCTCTCTACCTTTAGAGCCAGACAGCCTGGGTCCAAATCTCGCTTCTCCATTGTCTGGCTGTGCAACTGTTGGCAAAGGGTGTTCCCTCCCTGCGTGTTGCTCAGTGTCCTCACAGCGTCACGTTAGGACCGAATGCATTAGTCTACTTAAAATGCTTAGCACAGGACTTGGTGAAGAGTGGGCGCTCAGAGAACGTCAGTTTTTGCCAGTGCTGCAGTTTAAAGACTGGCTCAGTCAGTGTCACTGGAGGTGATGCTTTTGACCCTGCTGGGTAGGTGACAGAGATTCGATCTCCTTATGCAACTGTCTTTGTCTGTAACCACGCGTGTATATGCAGGCACACACTCCCTGATGGCGGCTGAGTGCACTCTGGACTGTGACCGTGACTTGTGCAGCTATGCCTATACTTGAGAAAGCCTTGGCCAGGTCCAGAGTGCACTGGGTGGTGCTCGGTGTGTGCGTCCTGGTGTGTGGCCAGTCACCATGTGCCCTGCTGCTCACACCTTGCTCCCCTCCAGCCAGGGTAGCAGTGACATTGGAACTCCACTGCCATCTGTTCTCTATCCTGAAGTGACAGGGCACCTCGTAGGGTCAGGGACCTGCCACCAGGCGTGAGTTCAATGGAGAAGCTGGTGGGGTTGAGGATGAGGAGGGCCTCAGGATGGCTGGGGTGCCGGGCACAGCGGCCATGGCCTGAGCACAGGGCTTGACTGCAGAGACGCGCCCCACTGGTCACATTCAGGATGAAGGGCCCCAGTGTGGTGTCCACATACTCCTTGATGGCCTGGCATGATTCCTGGGTAGGAGGGGGAGTGTCAGGGACACCATGGCCATGCATGGGCCCACCTAGGGCATCGAGACCCTCACCTGCTGGCCGGCCTGGACTGCAGGGGCAGAAAGAATGGGCCAGGGTCTCCCCAGCCAATCTCTACCCCACCCCCAACCCTGGGCCTGAGCTCACCTTGGTTTTCGTGTTCTCCCAGCTCACCCAGAGCACCACTCCTGCTGCTCCCTGGGCTGCACTCTCCCCCAGGCTGTGCTCCAGCTCGTCCTGGGGAAAGGGACAGCAGAGCTCTGTGGGTTCTCCCGCCCTCCGCACAGCTGACTGCTGTAACACCACTGGATGAGAGCAATAATTCATAATTCCCGCCTGGGGCAGCTCTGGCCTTGGTGGCCTGAGGCCAACCCCTCCTCAATCCAGCCTGTGTGTACCATGCAGGTGGGCACTGCATCCCTCTGGTGGATGCCGACTAGTCTGTGCCTAGCACAGACCTTGGCACACAATGGGTGTTCACAGAACCAGTGGGTGAAAGTGCCAGGAGGCTGTGCGACATCAGCTGCTGGGACTAATGCCTAGCAAGGTAGGCTACAAGGTGGGCAGGGGCGCAGAAGGAGACTCACCAGCGGCAGAAAGCGGTTCGTCATGTCATAGAAGATCTGGACATAGGGCAGCACCGGCAGACCGGGGTCCCCAGCACCCACAGCCACACGGAATGCCTCACCCACTCGGTGCCGCACATACATCCATGCCTTCCCTGTGCCCTCCAGTGTTGCAGGAATGTAGATGCTGGGGTAGAGGGCACGACTCTGGCCCCACAGCCACCCCAGTTGGTCGTTCTGGGCATGGACACCCGCTGGGCACTCGCCAGTGTAGTTGGGGCTTAGAAAGTCATAATTGTAGCAGTCAGGGAAGCCATAGAAGCCCCAGAGGCCTCGAGGCCGCAGTACCTGCCCCAGTTTGAGGGTGCCCGCCATCCAGGCCTGCGCGGCCCTCTGGAACTGGTCCTGGGCTGCTGCCTCCACACGAGGAGCTGACCAGTCAGGGTGCTGCCCCTGTACCAGTTCCCGTGAGCGCTGCCGGTAAATGTCTTTGGCGTCCCAGTTGAAGGCCCAGCGTGGGCGCCAGGCCTCCCAGTCAATGACGGCTAGCCCTGAGAAGTCAGACGCAGGCATGGCAGCCAGGATGTCCCGGTACGTGCGGGCCAGGTGAGTGTCCAGGCTGGCGTTCTGGGGCAGGCCGCCGAACACTGGCTCCCCAGAAGCCGTGTAGTAGGGGTAGGTGCCCAGCTGGGAGCTGTAGAAAATGGTCACGTCCGGGCCGAGGAAGGTCTGCCCTGGGTTGGCCACCACGTCAAAGACACTGACATCCACGTCCACGCCGTACATCTCCAGGCATCCCTGGGTGTTTGCATTCCAGATGGTGGTGAAGGGCTGGTTGGGTACCACAGGGCCACTGATGCCTTGGGCTGTGCCGAGTAAGGTCAGGAGGAGGGCGCAGGTGGGGAGAAGGTAGGCTGCCATGGCACAGGGCAGGTCTAGGGAAACCTGTCCAGGGGAGGTGGGGCTGAGTGCGGATCTTGAACTCTCTGACCCCTGCTCCTTAATCCACCCCTGCTCTGGCTTCAAGTAAACACTGCCTGGCTGGGTTCAGGGAGGTCAGGGGGCAAAGGTGAAGCATGGAAGGGAGCACCGTCCCTGGAGGGCACGTCGGGGGTGCTTCTTGGGCTAGGCCTTTGCCTTGTCTCCCACCGGCCTTGCTCTGGCCTGGGCTCACCCACCCACTTTCCCAAGGGCCACAGAAGCCATGGCGTTGGTTTTGAGAGGAGTGGCAGAGAGGCAGGCCCTGGTCCCCAGGTTGACCTAATAGGAGGCCTTTCCTGTCTCTTCTCTCAGGAATCCTGACCAGCCATTGGAGGAGGGGATGCTCAGTGACCAAGGACAAGTCAGCCCAGCCCTCCTGTACACCCTCCAGTCTGCCCACTTGTCCCTGCTGACCTCAGGGCTGCAGGGCCTTACCCTCCAAACTCCCTGACCCCAGGGTGAGGGCCTGGGCAGGACTCAGCAAGATTCTTTGTTCCTCAACTCTGGCCCCAGCTGCACCCGTTTCTTGGAGGAAGAAGCTGCTGCCGGTAACTCAGAGCTTTTCTTGTAGGGGGTCACCCCACCCAGTCTAGGGGCGGGCTGAGGGTTGGGCCCTGCGCTGGAGGGCTGGGCCAGGCACCAGAGCCGCCACATCGCTACCCTAGCCAAGAGCGCTTGGTAAGGGGTGGGGCCTGGGCCGGAACTGACCCCTCCCACCCTGTGAGCACTGAGGCAGGGCTTTGTGGCTTTATTTGGGGTGGGGTGGGGGCTGTCTGCGTGGCTCCCCGCTGGGCAGGCTTGTCTGTGGTACTGAAATCTGGGTGTCTTGGGACTGATGCCCAGGGAGTGCACCTGCCCCACTTGGCTGCACTATGACCTTTGGGGGCCCTGGGCATTTTTGCCTTTGTGGGTGGGACTCTTCCTTGGAAAAAAAAATTTTTTTTAAATTTTACTTGTTGATTTTAGAGAGAGAGGAAAGGAGAAAGAGAAACATTGATTCGTTGTTCCACTTATTTAGGCATTCATTGATTGATTCTTGTCTGTGCCCTGACGGGATTGAATAAAAAATATTTTAAAATATATTTTACAACTATGTTGGCATAAAAACAAATAAAATCCAGGCTGAACCCATTACATACTCATTATTTATATTTATTTTATTAAGAAATTCAAATGAGAACCGTCATGGGCCTTGAAAGTCCTGTGGCCCTGCACCCTCTGCCTACTGGGTGTCGTCCCACTTCAGGGCCCCATGTGCGTGGGAGGCTCTGCGTCAGGGCTGTGCTGCCACCTCGGTCCCCTTGCTGGGTCTGTGACCATGAAGCCCCAGGTAGTGACTGCCTGGGCGTCCGCACAAACCCCCTGGAGTGTGCCTGTGTGCACAGTGAGGCCCTGGGGTCTCGTGACTGTGAGACCGTCAGTGTGACCACGGGGCCCAGTGCAGGGTGTCAGTGACTACATGCTTATTCACTCCTTCCCGGCTGCACTTGTTTGCTGATTCAGAACCCAGTGGCTGAGACCTGCCAGGGGCCAGGCCCAGGCCTGCTCGCCAGGGTGGGCTAGGAGCCATCAGATCCCTGGCGCAGGTTAGACTGCTGCCTGGCCAGCTCTCCAGCCCAGTCTGAGCTGGAGCTGGTGACCCTCCAGCACGGTGGCCATCAGGGCAGTGGCACAGCTGGCTGCCATATGGGTTCAGTCCTCCCAAAACATCCTGGAGGATGGTTGCGATGGAGAAGCTGGCAGGGCTGAAGGAGAGAAGGGTCCAGGGTGCTGGGTGCTATGGGTGCATCAGCTGTAAGCCAAGCACAGGATCTGGCCACAGAGGTGGTGGCCACTGCGCCGCTCCAGAAAGCAGGGTCCCAGAGTGCCTTCTGGGCTCAAGGCAGCCCTGGACCCCCTCTCCCTGAGGCTCCTTGCTACCTCCTGGTACCCCCAGAGACCTAGTGCTGCAACTGGCACAATCCAGCCAACCAGCAGGCTGGCATCCTCGCGCTGGCCTCAGTCCAAGGGAGACGCTGTAATGGCCAGCCAGCAGGAAGCAGCCGGGGAGCCTGAGGCCCTCCCCCACCCCAGGGCCCCACCACAGGCCCGCTTCTGCGGTTGGTCTGGTCGGATGGGTCCAAGTGGTGTGTGTCGGGTCTGAGGAACAGAGTGACGAAGTAAAATGGAGTCACTGTAGTCAAGCTGTTAAATGACTAAAATCAAGCAGGTTGAGGCATGAGGAGAGATGTTTTAACTGGCCTGACAACCTAAGCTCTTGAGCTTTCCAGTCCTGCATCAAGTGCTGGACATGCCTCAGACCCCCAGACAACCGTCTGGACAGCCCCCTGAACAACTCACATACCCAGAGCAACAGAAGCAACCCGGCCCCTTGGTGTCCACTGTCCAGGCCACACATCTAACCATCTCAGGCCAGTGCAGAGGCTAAGAATACAGAATTGATTCTTCTCAGGAACGTACTTTCTCAGCTGTTGACAGGTCAGTCCAGCTTCGTGGTCCAGCCCTTCCTGTTCTCTCTGGTTATGTATACCTCAGGACGCTGAGTCACCTCAGTCCCCATCCCCCGCCTGCCCCTGCCCCACAGCCACCCACAGGACAGCTGTCTCAAGTTGCACTTTCTCCAAGGCTGTCTTCTAGGTCCCCCTGGGGAAGTGATGGGAGGTGGTCACAGGCTTTGTATTGGAGAGGTCAGAGCTGTGTACACAGGGGTTACGTGTATGCAGAGGTCCCAGCTGTGTGGTGAGGTCACAGGTGTGCCCCAATTGCCTGTGTGCGGGGAGGCTACAGACGTCCAGGGGGACAGCGCACAGCTGCACTCCCTACCATGGTTCCAACATCTCCTGGCCTACTGACCGGCAGCTGAATCTTCTCCCTGGCAGGCCTCCCCCCACCACGAGTACCAGGGCACTCTTTCCACCCAGCACCCTTCTCCACCAGGTGACCTGACATCACCCTCCCAGTGCTCCCACAGCCCCTTCTCTCCCTCCATTCTCTGCCATCAGCATCCAGAAGGACGAGAGATGGCTGTACAGCAAGTAGAGCTTGACTTGCTGGGCCTCGCTTCTGCTCCCTGAACCTTGCCTGAGTGTGCCTCGGCGGAGCACTCTCCATGGCCCAGCACCTGGATTGGTCCTCACGCCCACTGGGCATTTCCCTCCACACTGCCATCCCCAGACAGGGACCGGGGCCACTGTTGGTGGGGCTCACGGATGTGTCCCTAGCAGCCAGCTCAGCACTGGCAGGTGTGTGTGGTTTATCAAACAGGCCAGATAGTCGCTGCCGGGGGGCGGTCGGCAGGCCCTGCTGCAGGCTGCTCTGCCTGCCTTGCCTGATGCAGACATCACTCTGCTCCCAGCCTTGCACTACCACCGTCCCAGCGAGTTCAGCTCCCTTCAGCCTCTGCCCCTGCTTTGTCCCTCACACCAAGCCTCCCAAACTCCTGGTGGAGATTCCTCCAGGAGACCTCCTGTGTCCCTGTGGCTTGCCTGCCCTCCTCACCAGCAGGCTGCTTCTTGAACCTGTCTCCCCAGAGCCGGTGTGACTTGAGGGCAGGGCTGAGTCACCTCTGACTAGAACAGGGGTGCCCAGGTGCTAGTAGGAAGGTGGAGGGGTGGGGCAGAGCCCCCCCCAGGGTAATCTCCAGGTGTGTGTGGGGGTGGAAGCAGGGCAGGGCTGGTCTGCTTCTTCCTTTCTCTGGGACAGCTGGGGACCAGCCACACGTTTTCCTGTGGGTAGGACAGGGCTAACCGTGGAAGGTGCCTCTGCTCCCAGACTCTGGGTGCCTCCCTCTTGCACCATCATGTGTCTACAGTGGGATGGGGACGGAACCTCGACATTCGGACCCCAACCCCTGCTGGCCTCCTCCAACCATACCCTGTGGAGGACTGTGACCCAGAAGGGGAGAGGTGTGTGTGTGGCTGAAGTCCACCGTCCTTGGAAGCTGGGAGGAGACGCCCTGGCCTGCGGGACAGCAGGGAGAGGTGGTCTGGCTGCTTGCCCGGCCAGGGAAGATCAAACACCCACTTCCCCTTTTCTCCCTGGGTGGGCAAGGTGAGGCAGCTGGCACTGGCCCAGCTGGGTATTCAGGGGCCAGCAGGAGTGGCAGAGTCCCGTCCCTCACAGAAAGTTGGGCTCAACTGCATTCCAATCCATATGGAGAACGCAAGGTCCTTGGCATTGGGCTAGCGTTCATCCCTCCACACCCAGCGGCTGCTGCTCCAGCCAGGCCAGCTGCAGAGTGGGCAGCTCCAGGCCCTTGGGTCCCAGCAAACATGGTTACAGATAAGAAGTCCCTAGCAGAGGATTTCACAGGGAGAGAGCTGGGCTCAAACCTCATGGAAGACTCTGGAATCACTCTCACATGCCCTGGCCCAAGTGCAGACAGTCCAAGCACAGAAGTAGTTGTTTTATATTTAATTTACAAAAGAGACCCCAAAATAATAATAATAATAATAATAATAATAAACTATTCTGGGGCAGGGGAGTAGGGTCAGGTACTCCCCGGCCATACCCCTCTTCCTCTCTGGCACGGAGAGGAGGGGCTTCTCAGGGACTGCCCCTCCCCCTTAGAACAGGGGGTGAGAGCTGGTATGGACACCCTACTGGGCATCCCAGGGGCTCTGCCCCCTCTGGACTCATTCGCTCATCCCTTGTAGGCTCCTATATGCCCGGCAGAACGCTTGTGGCAGAGGCCAGCTTGCCTGGAAGCCAGGTGAGAGATCCCTACAAAGTCCAGGTGAGGGCTATGGCAGACAGAGGCAGCAAGCCAGTGAGGTGGGACCCAGACCAGGCACCCCCTGCACCTCCAGCTGTCTGCCTACGGTCCCACTGGCACTGCTTGCCACCCCAGCCCAAGTAGCATTGGCATTGAAAGTGCTTCTGCAGGTGGTCCTGGTCGGCCCAGCTGAGCTCCCCCTCCGGTCGCAGTGGGGGCTCACTAGGTGCGTGGCTAGGCACGAGGCGGAAGCTGCTGGCACTGAGGTGTAGGAAGGTGCTAGAGCTGGGGTCTCGGCGCACGCAGCGCCCATGGCCATGGCACTGGGCCCAGCTGCAATACTGGGCAGCCCAGGACACGTTGACTACGTAGGGGATCAGCAGCTGAGTCAGGTAATCCTTGAGGTACTTGCAGGTCTCCTGGGGGCAGAAGCCGGGAATCAAGGTCAGCTGCCTCAGCCCAGACCCGGGTGGAAACTCTGAGTCCACAATGCAGTGACTGCACTTTCTTTAATTGATGCACACACGTGTGTCTGAGCCCTCACAGTCCCTGCTCCTGCAGCGACGGGGGAGGGGGAAGAGGCTGCAGCCCACAGGGCAGGCCAGGGAGGGGACCTTGTCTTCTCTGTCAAGACCAGGGATATCTTGGGTGGGAGACAGACAAGGGGCAGACTGGGTCTGCTCACCTTGAGGTTGGCACCCGACACTCACCCTCTTTCTGCAGTCCCAGGAGGCTGGTGGGTCTTACTTACCGTGCTGGTGGTGAACCCTGCATCGCCCCAGAGGATGACACCAGCCGCGCCCAAGGCAG